TTAAATTTCAGTCTAATATTATTTCAAAATGATACAAAGTAGGATTCTATTCTTTGAAAATCAAATGTAGCTATGGTTGTAAAAGTGGTTCATAATACATAAAAATGCATATATTGTCTCCAGCTAAGTCGAAAACTGCTGAAACAACAAACCGGATAATGATTCGAAGAAAATCGGTTGCGAACAGAGGTAAAGTGGTGAGCTAACCTTAAAAAGTATGTCGAACAGTCGTCCCAATACATTCTTTTTGCCGGAGGCCTCACTCAACTGACGTGTAGTCATGGTTCCTGTTGACGAATTGCCTTTAACAATAGATATCGAAAATTCAAATGCGATATTCAAAGACATATGTATTACTTAAGGATAGCTACAAAAACGACTTCGGTGAGTAAGACTAGATGAATCATGATTCCTTTCTTGACAACCTACGTATCCTTCTATACATCAAAAATACTATTTCGGTAGGAATCGCTTATTGGTACGTTTTTTAAATGTAGTATAATATTCTAAAAGTCTTAAATAAATACATATCAAAACAAGCTATATCGTAATGGGCGTAACAGAAAAAGTTCTTTGAAGTACCTTGGACAAGATCAGAGATTGCAATTTCAGGTCGGTGTCCACTTCCGCTTCCTGTCAAACTTGGTTTGGTTTTCATGTCGTTAATCAGCAGTAGGTCACTTCCTGTTTTGACATTAGCTACTTCCTGTGATGCAACGAACAGTTCTTTCATCTTTTTGTCAGTCGGTGACCATTTACCTTCGCGGATAGCGGTCACTGACTTTCCGATGGTCAACTCGACAATCTCGTCAATTTCCTTATCTAAATTTCTATTCAACCCCTTTATTACATTGTCTGTTGGGGAAGTTTTTCCCTCACGGAGGGAAGTAATTGACCGTTCAATCGTCAGTGCTACAATATCTTCCACACTCTGGTCAAGATCTCCGGCCATTTTATCTGTAAGGATTTTGTCCATTGCGTTGTCTATTGCTGTATTTGTCATATCCCGCGCTATACGGCGCAGTTGTTCATCATCCATTGTGTATCCTGAAACAAATTGTTCGTGTTGGCTTTGACGTACGTGTTTTTAAATCTCGATATCTCGAGGAGTGACGACAACAATCTTATATGTTCTACAAAATTATCATAATTATACCTATTGACAAATAATCAAAGTACTGACTTTATTGTATGAAAGTGCTATTTAAGCAAAAGTGCAAATTCGTCGTTGGAACAGTTGTCAGTTTGATTGTTTAAAAACATACAAACAATGAGCATGTTCTGAAATTATGAATGAAGCAAATCTGATATCACATATACATATAGAAAAACCGAGTTTTTAATGGACGTATGCGGGTGACGTTGTGCGTAAGCAATAGCTCAATCGGACGAACAGACTGACTATCAGCCCGCACATAACATAAACAACGTCATTCAACTGTAAAAATGAAAGAATAGTTTGCTTCTATTGGGGGTCGAATCTCGACCTTCCAACAATGGAACAGTGGAATGCTACTTTGCAATTTACCTAACAAGCAGACTGTTTTTGTTTGTGTACCTACAATGGGCGATACAGGTGAATAACCAATAACAACCAACATACGAAGTTAGAAACAAATATGCTGATATTTGAGTTCTCAAAATAGCATCAGACGACAAAAAAATATAAGTTTCGATACATAATAACGGTGACCTTGAAATCCGGAAACACCAAGCTATTCCTCAGAAATATAATCAGAATATGAGGTGGTCAAACTTCCACAGAAAATGAAATCTTTACAGAGTTATGTATATATCAATAAACTGCCTGATGATATTCTATAAAGAGCAACAGCGACCCTGACATAGGCCTCGGAACCTTTAGGATTCCTCTGCAGTATTAATGTACAGACCTTTATACAATCGAACCTCGTTATCTCGAACTCGATGGGACAACGGGAAAACTTGGTTATAGCCGAGTATTCGATTTAAGTAAGTTCGCATGTTCCGGTGTAAAGTTGGGCAGCAACTGACGAAATGCTTCGAATTAAACGTGGTCTTCGAGTTATACGAGTTAGAGATGACGAGGTTCAACTGTATGAAGTTTTATTGAATTTCCGAAAGTAGTATAAGTTGCTTCGGCTGTACTGACATTGGTTATGGCGTATGAAAACAGGATATAAGTCCCCGTCCGCTAAAATGACCATTACAATGCTTTGCAGAGTACCTACAATTCTCAATCTGTAACTACAGTCTGTGAATGTAACACTGTGCGAGCTTCAGTGTTTTAATGCGAGGAAGTCAAACGTTCGAATCCCACCTTTGGCACAAGTCTACCTTAATGTATGGTATACAAAGACTTCACGGGATTCTGTGAGGTGGAATCAGATAAAAATGTATCCTTACGTATCTAATTAAAATCGCGGCTTTCAGTTTGGAAAATAAAAGTTGTTCCAACAAAAGTTGCTCCCCTTATTGCAGCTGTTATATAACAGTAGGAAATATCACGTGACGATTGCCTATTGTGACGTCACAGAAAGACGCGCGAGCCGTGCGAGTCTGATTGAAATGGTTTACAAGAAAGCGATGGACATTGAGTTAAGTGGTCTGGCCCCACTTGTATAAAACATCTCAACTAGAGATTTCCTCAAGTCGAGGTTTTCCTCAGCTGATATCTCCTCAAAAACGGCTTGTATAAAATTTCCTCAAGGAACAGGAGGAAGTCATCGGCTAGGATGTCCTGAAATTCCTTGAGGAATTTTTATACAAGATATTTTCAAGGAGATATTAGCTGAGGAAAATCTCGACTTGAGGAAATCTCAAGTTGAGATGTTTTATACAAGTGGGGCCAGGTACTCTAACTCAGATGTGTGATTCGGAATGGATTCAGTATTGGACTGATCTAACCACTAACCACTAATCATAGTCCGGCGGACGTGACTTTAAACGGTAGTCCGTGTAAGGACTGTCGATCTCCTCACGATAAAGGCCCCTCTCTGTTTTGTTTTTGTTACTTTTTTTCCAAAGAGTGATACCCTCTATCAACATACATCTTTATTAGAGAATTCGATAGAAGCATAAATATTAATACGATATTCATCCAAAATTCTATCCACCTTGTCAAACCCCTTGTCCCCTTCATGTAGACAAGTCTAGAGACAACTGGTATGACATGGCGAATACTATCTATGCCACTGACAAGATACAGAACAATTACACCCACGAGCCGTCTGTCAAAAACTGTTCAACAAAAGGACATATTGAAAGACAGCTCATCTCCATAAGGGGGATGCAAATCGGCCCTTCAAGTCGCTAGAACACTGATGTTCATCGGAGTGACTGTCTAGTGATGGGAAGAGTCACGGAGACGGTAAACCAGGAGTAAGAGGGTAACATTTTAAAAGATGAACGGGCAATACTCCTTTGGACTACAAACTCGGACCTTAAGGGTAAGAATTCTCTACGAGTAGCAATGAATAAGATTATGTTTTACGTACCTTTTCAAAATCTGTTTCAAATTTCCAATTAAAGTTCACAATCTCCTTCACACGTTCAACTGAAGCTTCTTTTGTCGCTAACAACGTTGACAATGACGACCAGCATAGTTCATGTGACGATTGTATATTGTGACGTCATAACAAATGGCACACACACACATTATAGATGCTTATTTAGTATGAGGCTTGTGTAACTTTTAAATGCATCGTTTAAGAAAAAAAATGGAAGGGTGCAACTTTTCTCTGTAATGCCGACCAAACTCCATTGGGACGTAGAGACTAGAAGGGATGATGGGGTCGACCGTACACCACACGAAAGTGAAGTCACACTAGGGAAACCCTCTCCTGGAGATTGATTTTGAACTGTCCGCTCTTTGGAGCATTCGGACTATCTTAATTTTTTTCAAATGTTTACCAGGACATCTGTGTCTCTTGATTTACATTTAACACTTAACTGATAAGTATATTCAGTGTGATAACTGAATTCTTTATTCTAACTTTACGTCGTTAGATCAGTGTCGAGCAAAAGGTAAATAAAGCTCGGGTTAGAATCACGTCATGGTCTTTTCTGTGAGAATTCTAGATTTGTTATCTCCCATAACCAGAATACTGGAAGACGTAGCAAATGATTTAAACATCATCGCTGATTGCTGAAAACCATAGACATAAATAAAATTCAATGGAGATCGACGAAGCCAGATCCGAAGGAGAAACGGGTCAATCTTCAAGAAATCCAAATCTTTTGGAATTATAACTCTAGAATAATTCATGGATAGACATTTGCTGCTTCGAGAGAACTGTCGTTCCAGGAGTAGATCAGAACAAGGGGAGATAATAAAGAAGGAAACTTCCAACATGTTTGCGCTTTATTGTAAATATTTTTCAATATGCGAAAGAATCATGTGAAAACATTCTGGGAAATACATCTAAGACATTTCGTGATAAAATCTTTCAAATCTTTGTCTAACTCATATAACGCTCTTCAGACGTCAAACTGCATGATGTTCTTCTCAGAAAATGATTATAATTTTTAACAATCAAAATCGACATCAAATGACAGTTCATGGTCTCAGCTTCGTGAGAAACAAACCACTTACAAAAAGATACCTAGCCACATACCTCAGCTATTCCGTTATAGGGGGCTGCAAAATCCAAGGCGAAGAACACAATAATCTTACCCTGAACTACTTATGTGGAGAAGATCTGGTTTTATGGAGGTAGATAAAAATGAAAATATGTTGTTTTATTACTTACACACCGTGTTACTTCACTAATCATCCGAAAAGCTGATAACTTTATTAATGCACGAAAATTACTAAATGCCATGCATATTCACGAATAATAAAAAAAAATGCGAAGGAACACGAGATAACTCTTCTTTAATAGGGACGGAATCGACTACACACGGTCACTCTCGGCCCCCGATGACTGTCAAGATGCTACCAGAATACCACGGGATGCCTTGATCGAACTCACCCTTTCAGTATGCCGTCACGTGACAAGCCATGTGACTCTTCGTGATAGTTATATTGGAGAAGAAAATATGTCGGGGGACAGGATCAACGTTTTCCCTTCAAGGATGTAAGTTATTAATTTCCAGTCGCGATATAATTCATACATAAGCACTGTCAACAATATCCAAATATATGTTGTAAACAGGATTTACAAGGAAATTAGTTAAAGAGGCCTATCAATATGACAGCCTACTGTGACGTTGAATGATCGCCGGGTGCGTGAAGAGATGTACGGATATGTAACAGAGAGCCTAGACTTCTCAATTGTCAAAATTATGATGGCATACGTTACTCTGCCGTGTCTACATATGTGCATTTATTGTAAAATGCATATCAACTGTTTCCCAACGGGGCCACACTACCTAGAGCGCACGCAGACGTTTGGCTGTCATACATTTCCAAACGTCACTAACGTTACTTCACACCAAGGTCCTGGTTTGGGTGTCCCCATACCAAGCATGGGTAACAGAGGTCATTATTAATTTCGGCTAGTATTTTACACAGGTTATACATGCACATATGTTTACAGGATATAAGGGTTTGGAATTGAACAGCAGACGTGGTGAATTCAATGTAGCTCGAATAAGATTCAAATCATGAATAATTTTACGCTTGGAACTTGTAGACAATCCAATTTGCTCCCAAAACTGACAGAAGAAGTACCAACCGTTCGTTTCACATGTGTATATAGGAGTGTCAGCTTCAATGTACATGTCCAGCTAAGAATCTTTGGATTACTATGGCCAATGGGCTCTGCTGCAACATGGTGAAAATGGAGGGTGTGGTGTAAATGGTTCCCAAGGTTATGGACTTACTATTGAGTTGAAAGGTTTTGGCCATGGTTTTTCGGTTCATAGTGCCATATTTCAGTCTAAAATGATGCGTTAATGTATATAGTCCATAGTATGCCATCTCTATCAGCACACAGACAACTGCGAAACATGGTCCCATATCCTGTAGCTTATAGTTAGTCTGCAGCTGGTGCATATTTTGAATGCAAAACAAGGTAACATCTTATCAAAGTATTACTTCGGCGATAGTGATACTCAATTTACATAATAAGACAGATCATGTTTGTATTAATTCACAAGTGTTCCAAATTGTTTTAAAGTGAAACTTACCTACAAATCAAGTTATTTTTACAAAATGATATATGATAGCGAAATATGAAGTATCTTTTTCTTTTTTTTTATACGCCAATGGAGGCGGTTTTATATTGGCATCATCTTCTTCATCTGTCCATACGTCTGTCCATACATTCATTTCTTGTGAATGCAACTCCTCCCAAACTAATCATCAGATTTTCACAAAACTTGCTCAATGTCACTACTACAATGGGTAGATGTGCATGAGGAGGAATTTTTTTGGTTCTTTGATTTTTGTAAGATTTATGCCATTTTCAACTTTGTATCTGTAGCTTGTTCTTAGTGGAGCTTTGTGAATGCAACTCCTAAACTAATGATCAGATTTTCATAATACTTGCTCAATTTCACTAATACAATGGTTTGATGTGCACGAAGGGGCGATTTTACGGTTCATTGATTTTTGTAAGATTTATGCCATTTTATCTTGATCTTTATATTTTGTGGCGGCGTATATTGTGTCCACGGCACTCTTGTTAAAAATTTATTTTGAAAGGGAAGCAACAACCAGACATGGTTATATGCCATTTTGTAAACGACCAAGTCCCAGATTATTCGTAGCCTATCTCAAGAATAACTACAGCTAATTGTTACTTTTAACTAGATTTTTTTAAGGTTTTGAAATTTGGTGATAGCAAATGTCATAAAAATGCCATGATTGATGTTACCCAACATGCATTTATTGAAATGCAGATACATATAGTGTTTGGTTAAAACTAGAAAATTTCACTATCAGTCAAGGGTGTTACACTAAAACATGATAGTGTATATATATGTGTGTGTGTTTGTGTGTTTGTGTGTGTGTGTGCGTGTGTGTGTGTGTGTGTGTGTGTGTGTGTGTTTGTGTGTGTGGGTGTGTGTGTGTGTGTGTGTGTGTGTGTGTGTGTATTTGATGTGTGCTTGCGTGTGTGTGTATGTGTGCTTTCTATACTACTGTTTAGACATGGTCAGCTGAAGTAACACTTTATCATCACATGTATCATGTGACGAGTCACTTCCTTAAATTTATCACTTATGCATAAGGGGTGCTTTTGACTACCTAAAAACAGGCATCAGGACATATTTGAGCAGCACCATCTGGATGGTAGTACTATTTAGATTAAAATGTAACAGAATTTAACAAACAAAAAAATCTTGGCCAAAACCCTTTAAATCATCTACTCTTTCCTATGTAACATACAAGTAATTTTAATTTTCAAGGTTTTGGGACAGAAGGCTCCGTTAGGGAACCAATTTATTGTTACATACATTAACATTAAATAAATTGAGTAATAACTACGATTTAGTTAATATTAAGTTTCATGAGTTTAGAAAAAAATGAATAAGGTCAGTTTTGTCTAGTGCTTAAGGCGCCTGACCATCATTATTGCTAGCCCTCAACCTGTGGGTCGTTGGTTCAAGGCCTATATAGGGCAGTCATCAAGTGACTGGTTACAGGTCAGAGGTTTGTCTCTGGAAACTCTGTCTTTCCTCCACCACCCAAACCTGGCACATCTTTAAATAATCCTGGCTGCTTATACAATATTAAACATAAATTAACAAATGTTTGGTAATTTTAAAATTGTTTTTTCATTATGCTGTTATAAGCCCATACTCTGACTTTTAAGTAAGAAGCCTGTGGGCTTATTAAAGGGTAAATACATTAAAAGTTGAGGTAGAAAGTAAAAAAAACTTATTAAGTAATAATCATAAAAACCATGAATTAACTCCTGATGTTGTGTGTAATTAAAGGGCCTTGACCATCATGAAGGGAAGACTGAAGGGAGCACAGAAGGGCCACAGTTTGCTGAAAAAGAAAGCAGATGCATTGACATTGCGATTCAGAATGATTCTCAAGAAAATTATTGAGGTAATGTACTTAAATTTGATATTCTTATGTGTTTTAAAAATAAGAATGTAAAGGAAAAATTAACATTACCCAATGAAATGAAATTGTTTGTGTCTTATTCAATGTATTAGAACAGAAAAATATTTTCGAATAAATTATTTGTTGACCTCTTTTTCAGACAAAGGTGCGAATGGGAGAAGTGATGAGAGAGGCAGCATTTTCACTGGCAGAAGCAAAGTTTACTTCGGGAGATTTCGGGCATATTGTATTACAGAATGTCAACAAAGCTCAGCTGAAAGTGAGGTCAAAGAAAGAAAATGTGGCAGGTAAATATTAGATTTTTTTTTTCTGTTTATGAAGGAGTGAAGAGTCCATCATTAACATACTTTTCACTATCAATTTGTTGACTGTTGAAATTTTTTCCTAGTTATCCACTCAGAAACCCTGTGAATATCATTTAAGCCTAAAGAGATCTTTGTTTTTTGTTCCAACATTTCTTTGATAGGAAATTGAGGGTGTCTCATTGGTTTGGTCCATCGTTCTGTTACTTTTCAAGTGAAAAAGAATTTTTAGTAAAATCGCTATTATACTCACATACTTATAAGCATAGATGTTTAATGAAAGATTTGTTCTGTAACAAGTTCTATGGGATATGCAGAAATCATATTCAGACCTATGGATTTCTGAAGATTGCTAGCAAGTGCTTTAAGAAATTACTCACAGTACTTGTGGATCTAGATTAATTGAACATTTTATTACAGATAATTTTGTTATAGATGTTAAGTTTTATAATTGGTTTTACAGCTACTGTGTATTCTATTACAGGTGTACAGCTTCCCGTGTTTGAACACTACCAGGATGGTGCTGACAGTAAGTTACAAAAAAAAATCTAAATATTAGCTTTTCATTATTCATATACCAAACTAAATATAATAAAAGAAATGTTTGTTGAAATGTTACAGTGTTAATTTTAGGTTAGGAGCTGATAGGATGTACATTTTATTTAATTTTAGGTTATGAGCTGACGGGCTTATCAAGGGGTGGACAACAAATTGACAGACTTAAGAAAAACTATGCCACAGCTATCAAACTGCTTGTAGAACTTGCTTCGTTACAAACATCCTTCGTAACCTTAGACGAGGTGATCAAAATCACAAACAGGAGAGTGAACGCTATTGAGCATGGTAAGTGTGCAAAGGACACCAATGGGGTTCCTTTCTCTTAGTCAGAATGAGCTTTCACAAATTACATATGTAGGTTCCACTTGGTTCCTCATTGTGCCTCTTTGAATTTGGGACAGATCAGAAAATACAAAATGGCTGACAGCCGCAAGTGGCCATCTCGGGTTTTGATGAAAGTACTGAATAAATCAATCTCAGATTTCATATCTAGTCCTCAGTTACGCCCATTTGATTTTGGCAGGCAGCCATCTTGGATTTTGATATTGAAAGTTTTTTATCGCTCTTTCTTAAGAGAAATATTCAAATTCAATATAATTATGAGTAAAATCAGGAGAAAGAATATAGAAAAAAGAAGATTAAAGTTTTACATAACTTCTAAAGAATAAACAATGGTGGGCACCAAGATTGCTCTGGGATATTTGATTCGCCTTTGTCATGGTTGACAGAGATCATCACTGTCTATTGCAATACAGAAAAGAAAAAGTCCAGTAGAATTATATATAGTTAGAACTCTTCAGAGTGAGGCACAAGAAGATGGTAAAAAATAGGAAAGATTTTATTTGTCAGTACTGTCTCAGGCAGATATGTCTGCAAATTACAAATTTGAATGATATTGGGAATTCTTTGTAAATGTTGAAAGCTAGAATTATTTAGCTACTTACCAATGTTGTCTGACACCTTTGTTTTACAGTTATCATTCCTCGTATTGAACGAACTCTTGCCTACATCACCACAGAATTGGATGAGCGTGAGCGTGAGGAGTTTTACAGGTAAACATCCATCTCCATAAACAGATTATACAAGTATAAACTTATTAACAAATCTATCAATTCAGTCGTTAAGTTTCAGGGGTCAAATTGTAAAATTTACAAAAGTAGGTTGCAAGATACAAAACAGTGTTTTTCTAATTATGAGATCTACCCAGGCTACTGTTCTGTGTGTGATGGGGTAAATGTACCAGTTCACTGTGTGATGGGTACATGTACCAGTTCCTTGTGTGATGGGTACATGTACTAGTTCTCAGTGTAATGGGTACATGTACCAGTTGCCCGTGTGATGGGTACATGTACCAGTTGCCTGTGTGATGGGTACATGTACCAGTTGCCCGTGTGATGGGTACATGTACCAGTTCCTTGTGTGATGGGTACATGTACCAGTTCCCTGCGTGATGGGTACATGTACCAGTTGCCCATGTGATGGGTACATGTACCAGTTGCCCGTGTGATGGGTACATGTACCAGTTGCCTGTGTGTACATGTACCAGTTGCCTGTGTGATGGGTACATGTACCAGTTCACTGTGTGATGGGTACATGTACCAGTTCACTGTGTGATGGGTACATGTACCAGTTCACTGTGTGATGGGTACATGTACCAGTTCACTGTGTGATGGGTACATGTACCAGTTCACTGTGTGATGGGTACATGTACCAGTTCACTGTGTGATGGGTACATGTACCAGTTCACTATGTAATGGGTACATGTACCAGTTCCCTGTGTGATGGGTACATGTACCAGTTCCCTGTGTGATGGGTACATGTACCAGTTCCCTGTGTGATGGGTACATGTACCAGTTCACTGTGTGATGGGTACATGTACCAGTTCACTGTGTGATGGGTACATGTACCAGTTCCTTGTGTATATAGTTGATGATATTCATGAGGTTGTATATATTTGAGGTTGTTTAAATAAGCATTTTTACAGTGAGTCTGTATCTAAGAAAACAAGTTATTTGCCTTTAAACATGGATAACAATTGATTGACATATTTGAAATTTGATCCTTATTAATTTGTCCAAATCAGAAAATCGCTAAATATCAGCCTTGTGATATTAAACAAACATACAGTACTTTCTTGTATTGTATATTTATCAGTAGGGTGTTAATTATCGTTTGGAGACCCACTTTTATCAACACTCTGGCAGTCTCATTTTCATCGACCATTAATTTTCAGATGTTTGTTAAAGTTAAGTGAACTCACATTTATCAGAAACTTTATTCCTAAATGGAGTTTAGTCAAATTCACAACAGTTATGTTTCGGAACAACTTGGACTGGTTTCACTTTCTTGGTGGATGGGTCAATTTGTCACCATTTGCTTTTTTATGGTTTTGTCCAGGTTGAAGAAGATACAAGAGAAGAAGAAGAAAATGAAAGCTGTTGCTGATGAAAAGTTGAAGGCACGAAAGGCGAAAGGCGAACTCATTGAGGATGCAGCCAATTTGTTGGAGGAAGGTCGAGATGAAGATCTGTTGTTTACAGACTGACCCATGGTCGTTAACCATTGTAGGAATTTGTACATACAAAGATGCTAGTCCAATCACCTGTTATAGGTTTAGTTAAATAGAGCTGTAAGAATGCTAGACAACCTGTCAAACCAATCTAGATTGAATGGACACGTCAGGGTAAAGTATGAAGGGTAGCTTTGCTATGACAGGTCACCCGTTGTCATCGTTTTAAATTACTTTGTCTTCAGAACAATCTGGTTTAATATTTAACCTTTAGCTTGCTAGTTGGTGGGATATGATATTTTCAAAAATATATGCATATTGGATTTTCATATGGCTGTGATTGAGCCAGTGATTTCCATGTATTATTTTATAACTTTACTCTGACAGGACTGATAACATTACTGTCAATCAACGATTCATTCCTTATCAAAACAATTGTTTTTTTGTGAAATCCTCATGTGATTAGTTAGTAGTTTGGCATTAAGTCAGTATTGTGCATCTAGACCTGTTTTTTTTCCTAGTGTTATCCAGATAGTTAGCTATATAATGGAATTGTATCTCATCTATCCCTGATCATTTGGTCTCTATAACATTGACTCACATCAGTTGTCATTTGTTCATGGAGATATTTATCAGATGTCAAAGTCTAACCCAGACCTGTAAGGCCATTAATATAAGATCAAGGTCTGGAGGCTCTTTAGTCTAGGGTCCAGACCTAGAGGTCCTTTAGTCTGGGATCCAGACCAGGAGATCCTTTAGTCTGGGATCCAGACCTAGAGGTCCTTTAGTCTGGGATCCAGACCAGGAGATCCTTTAGTCTGGGATCGAGACCAGGAGATCCTTTAGTCTGGGATCCAGACCAGGAGATCCTTTAGTCTGGGATCTAGAGGTCCTTTAGTCTGGGATCCAGACCTGGAGATCCTTTAATCTGGGATCCAGACCTAGAGTCCTTTAGTCTGGGATCCAGACCAGGAGATCCTTTAGTCTGGGATCCAGACCTGGAGATCCTTTAGTCTGGGATCCAGACTTGGAGGCTCTTTAGTTTAAGGTACAGACCTGGAGATCCTTTAGTCTGGGATACAGACCTTGAGGTCCTGAAAATCTCTGGATATGCAGTCATTATTGGTCCCAATCACAAAAATAGCAAATCAGTAATTTTTGTGTTGAAGAAAATAGTAAGAAAATGTCCTTTTCTACATTCTGGACAACAAAAACTTAGACTTTTTCAAATGTTTCTTAAGATGGAAAACTCATTGCTGGTTTCCGCTTCATATGATCTACAGAAAATAGTGTTGTACATTTGTAATATTGCTTCTTTCAGTCATTCCGTAAGTCCAGTTATCTTACAGTAAGAAATGATAGCTGGAGTTGTTTAGCTGGAGGGTGAAGGGATTTGATGTGAAGTAGAAGTCTTTGTCTGTGATGTTACATTTTGTTATGAGGCGTATTAACTTTGTTTCCAATTTGTAAAATTATTTACAACTTAATGTGTTGAAACAAGGACTTGTGACAACACTGGTTCCCAAACTAGAGAGAGTGGTGATAGACATCAGTCAATATGCATGACAAAACCAGTAACTAAAGGTATCAGCTCGGACATGTTGAATTGTCGTTGCAAAAACAATGAATAAAGAGACTTTAAAAATATGAAAGAGAAAACTGGAACAAATACAAAGAAATTTAGCTTCATTTTGGCCGTTCGATATTGGTGCATGTATACTTGTACTAATGTTTTCCAGTTTATCTCCTATTACCAGGATGAGGAAAGTAATTTCATTACTTTGGAGCAGGTTGACATCAAATATTTCCAAATCATTGTATCATCTCATATAGCCAAAAGGGTATGAGTGGTAATATGGGAGATTTTTTAATTTGTTGAGCATCAGTACATATTTCTGATATTAGAGGTATTTAATTACGAATTTGTTGATCTTATAAGTGATCTGTATGATTTAATATTGATAATATAATCAGTTTGGACGATTGTTAGGGTACATGTGGTATACATTGTATTAAAAAAACCTGTATGAAGAAAAAACAAGTTGTTGATTTGTCTGTTTGCATAATTTAGTTTCATTGTGATCGTGTGTGAAACTGTTATTCTGTCAAAAAACCATGTTACAATCTCAACATTAACCTTAGTCTCCATCACAAGGATTTACTAGCTGGTATCCATGTAATTATTTCATCCACATCATCTGTGAACCAGTTTTTATCAGTTTTGCTGGAAGTTTCCTTGTTCAATTGCAAACACTGTAAAGATACAATTCTAACCCCTATGGCCTTAATGAGCAATGCAATCGGCCCTAAGTTTGGCAAATTTCTTCTGCAGACATTTTCCATCAATTGAAAGTGAGCGAGGGTCAAATGGATAAGACAATTTCAATTCAGCTGCCTGTAACAGCCTTCCTGTATATACTTTCTTTTTCTTGGGCTACTAAGTTTTTTGTACTCTGCATATTTTAAAGTTTGTTCAATCTAATTGGAATCATATCTTTCATTTCACTTTGTAACATGTACCACTGATTCTAATTGGATTGCCATTTCTTATGCAAATTAATCATTTGCACCAGCCATCATTCCACTGGATATGTTACAGGCTCACTTTTAATCTGTTAATATATAATCAGTATTGAGTGGAAATCAAATAGTTTGAGCCTGTATCAGCAGTTTTGATATAAACTAATTCATATTCCACTTTACAACTTTTCATCCATTTAAATCTTAGTGGTACAAGTATTCAAAGGCTTTACACTTGCAACATTTTAAACTATGAGAGAATCAGGTTTACTTTACGTTTTCAGGAGAAATATCAAACTTCTTTACAGCTTTGGCATAAAAAATATCAGGCCTCACAAACTTGTTTCTGATGTCAACTACTCAAACATTTATGCTTAGATAGTATATCTTCAAAGATATCTATCAAAAATAGTTATCGTCATGATTTAGAGCATCCAAAAGGAGAGTTTGCATGTTCAATCTGCATAACTGTGACTATTACGATTTTCAAGAGCAAACCCAGGTTATCCAGGGAACCAAAACCAAGAATACTTTAAAACGCTTAATATGAATAGACAAAAGAAAAGATTTTAAGTATAACCAAGTTTATTGATCAAGAAAATGGTGAATTATACATTAAAAACATAACATTTTCATAAAGTTATAATTGTATGTAGAAAGAAAATGTCTGGCCAATACTGCTGGCCAGTAAAGAGACATTTCTACATTTCAAGTTGAAATTTTTCCAGTATTCTGGGTCTATTACTCAAAAATGAACAAATCTGAATACCATGTATAATAACTTGTATTGATGATAAATGTCTGTTGCTTAAGAAGCTAGAAACAAGGTTTACTGTATCTGCTTGATGCAGATCACTGATATCATATGACTCGAGCAAATCATCAACAAGCATACTATAAATGATCTCCTTTTTGTTGCCCAGAGACTACTTTTTGAGCAGGTTCGGTGTAGCATATTGTCGTTGGGGTATTTTTTTTCCCTGTATATATACATATCGAGAAGGTTTGTGATAAATATTTTTGAAAAGGGATTCCCATTATTAATATAAAAAGAACAGATTATTTACACGAAATTTTTTTACAAAATTTCATTGGTTACAAATGGAAACATACTGATCAGTGATGTCTGAAATAAGTAGAAATGTCGCTTTGTTTCCTTGTTTCTCTCTGAATACTAAAGCTTTGTGAAGTTGTTCTTCAGGCAACCTATCACAGATGTGTAGACAGTGTTAATTCATGTTGTGACATGTCTTCTTAATTACTGTGACATCCAATAATCTATCACCACATACAGAAATTCGGGAGTAATTTGGACTATAACTGCCATAGTTCTGAAGAGTACCGACAATCTATCAAACAATATGAGAACGACACCCTTCTTCCAACTATTTTACATGGTAAAATAAATGAACATGCCTACTTTTGACTGTTGATTACGAAATGTTACAGAAAATGATGCTGATTAGAACTTGCTACAAAGATTAATCTCAAACCATTATGTAAACAAAAAGCAGCTTCATACCATCGAAGAAACCTGCCTGTGAAATGTGAAGATGGAAAATACATTTCTATGTAAATAACCTTTTGAAACAGTACTACATAAGGAATGTGTGTTTTGTCAATTAGACTTGGCAGATGAGTATTATTAGCAAAGGAAGCATGTATGTTGAACAGCAGCCACATAAACATGATTTTAGAAAACATCACTAACTCCAAATAAATGATATTTTATGATGAAAAATGGAATGACAGCAGGGTACATCGTAATTAATACTGACTGCACAGAAAAAAAGTTATTAAATCTAATTTCTACAAGAAAACTATCATTAATGATTTTTAAAGATTTGCTATGAACAGTAAATTACTTACCCTGTAACATAAATTAATATACTGAGCCAAAAACACCCCAGAACAACTAGATCAACAAAATAACTATCACACGCATCTACAAAATATTTAAGTATTAAAAAGTGGTAAATATTTCCAAGTTTCTATTCTCTTCCAACACCATCCACCATTTTCAGAAGACCAATTCAGAGTCAAATGTATGTGTAATTCTTTCCTTCTATTCTACACATCCTATATTTTACTATTATATAACATTACTGCTGTTGTGTGCTGTCAAGTACAAAGAAATGAAGAAAAAATACAGACCAAACTTTTCAGTAGTCGACATAATTAAACAACTAGTTCCAGTGACAGAGACCTTGACCTTTGAATTCGTAAATAAGATATACGTCTCGGTTCAAATCTTAACCATTACCGAAAATCATTAGTTGCGATATCGACTTAAATTCCGATCTGACTGATCTGTTGCTTTCCCCACCCCTCCCACTGAAATATCTTACATTTTTTTTAAAATGGTGCTTACTTTTGCTCGAGCAAGGGTGTGTAATTGGCTTTAAACAAGGACTCCACTTGAAGCATACATATCCATTAAAAAGACGTCCATTGAACAAATGATTTATTTGAAAACATGCTATTAATTTGTGATTCGGAATACAATCATTATCACTGAGGTTATAACCAAGGAAATGTCAAATTAAATGCTCTATATATAAATGTTTGTATACAAGATCTGCATATTATATTAAGTTATCAATATCATGAGAATTTCTTTTTGCTATATGAACACAATGTTTCTGTATTGTAATTACTACATACAATATTCGCTGGCTTTAAACCTATACAAGGCTATTGTGATCAGAATCCTTCATATGATGGCTTACCTTAGCAACAAGGATTGCCAATTCATACTATCTACTGTGTAAACATTTCAAACTTATCTTATTAATTACCTTAATAGACAAATAATATTTAATCAACATCAATTTAAATAAAATTTGAAAAATCACAGGAATAAAAAGATAACAAAATAAGGAATTCTATCCATTTTCCTTTGTATAATGACTTTATAATTTACAAAATGTTGTTTTTTTTTAATTAACAATTAGGGAAAAAAATAATAATATGAAAACTGGGGGAAAATACAAGCTCTGTACATAGCACAATAACTTATATTTTATAATGAGCAGTGCACATTCTGATATGATACTTCTCCTGCATCACTTACAACATTGTCAAAAAGGTATGGGAACACAACTTCAGAGATGGGCAGAATAGTACTTGGATTGGTTATCGAAACATGATTCTTTACGTTGTAGATCTTTGGGTCTTTGATAATATGTATCAAACATGGATTGTAGCGCATCATCTCATAAAATAAAATTTTAAAAATATGTTTCACTTGTACAATTTCACACACCACCACAAACACGAACACACACATCATTTAATATCCCATTCTTCACAAGTCTCATCTTCCAATAAATAATAGTTCGGTCTATGGGAAAGTAATGACATGCCTACTGTGTTACTTACACTTCCCAAAATGACCTTATATTGATTGGATGTCATAACCACATCACTCATGTATTACGACGTCACAACCAACTTCATATATCAGCCATTTGAATTTTGAATTTCAGAATTTGACAATGTTTAACAAGTAGATTCACTCACTACAACCAGAAACTATCTTGTAAACTGCCCAGTCTAGATGTAGCCAAACCAGTGGTTTTGACAGAATGCATTGTATCATCACAAGTAACCTTATCACATTTCTTAGCTTCAATGCAGTGATGATATCACTTTTATCAACCATCATTAACATTTCAAATTCACACAAAAAAAATCAATGCCACAATCCAAAGACTTTTCTGCAGAAATACATGCATAGCTTTTTTTTTCTCTCAGAATTGCAAGTCTGTGATAAAATGTCTTTTCACTTAAGTGATCTGAAAATTGTACATTGTACCATCTTTCATGCACATACCCACTAATAATACAGCAACTCAAGTGGGAAAGATTTCCTTCTCAATAAAATATGAAGCACAACTGCTGAAGAAAATCATGCGGTGTTCAAATGTGTGAAATGATAAAAATTTCAACAAAATCTAAAACTTTTCCCCCAGCTGCACACTGATGACTGCCATGCAGAGAGTGAATAATTTCACCCATCAGGTGCATATTCGGTTCAAAGTTCATAATATTTCATCTGGAATGTCTACACTTTCTGTTAAGCCCATCCATTTCCTCTAAAAAAAATGATTTTCATACTGGAAAACATGAAAAAAAGGTCAAATCCAAGAATTGAAATGTCACAGCCCAATTATGGACAAATCTAAAGGAAAATAGTATCAATACGTAATCCATGCGTAGTGAGACCTTACAAATCTACGGTTTTATCTAGAGGAGACAGCTTCCAGTAAAGCTGTTTGTCCTCAAAGAATTTATGAAATGTTTCTGATGTAGTCATTAAAGAGTTCTTCAACAATCTCTTCTCAACCCACAGCATTGATCAATGTTGATTTTCAGTACATGGACATCATCATTAGGAATAGGTGTATTTGTCTCTCTTTTGTTTTCCAAGCCATCGTGTAGTCAGCACAAAACTGTAGAAAGTACACAGTGAATCTGATTGGTCCCTCTGTGTAACATGGTTGATATATCTATCTGCCCCCGCCATGATCATACATTCAACATCCTGTAGCACAAACAATATTAAAACAAACTAAATACAGGAAGCATCAACAAAATAAATGTTGTATTACAGCAAAAAGGTTCATCATCTTCAAGAAAATAATAGTTTACAAAATAAATACTATTTCCACTACAAAACGTAAACTTTATTGCTACTCGTTTTTTTGGCACATGCTTCTACAGATATATGAAAATAGCATTTCTCAAGACCTACAAACCAAACAAGCAAGCAGCTAAGGTTACAAGTGAAATAAAGCACCACAACATTAATGATGAATAATGGTAAATGATCACATGCTGACAAATAGTACTACTGAATGATAAACATGAGAGCTACAACTACGAGTGTAAACAAGATGATATTTCCTGACTAAGAACAGTAAATCCACATCAGACAGCTCTCATCATTTAAGCCTGCTATTAAATCAATTCTAGTCAGGATGTTATTGAGCTGATGTAGTTCTGTTAACACAAATAGTTCCCTTCTGAACTTGTCATTGTAGGTCTAATGCACTACCGTGATGCAGCTGTTGATGACCTTTGATCTTGAAACATGACCTTAACTTTAAACAGTAGTATGACAGAAAACTATCTAGCGCCCTATAATACAGGTCCAGGCATGTTTATTCAATTATCTATCTTTAGGTGATACATATACAGACTTCTATTCAATAGCTACGACTACAATAGGTACTGATAACAAACTCAAACACACAAAACACACTGAGGGTACAGTTTCTGAAATCCATTTCATGCACATACATGACAACAATACCTAGACACTGCATTAATGAGTTACATATTGGGATTTGGTACTCCTCTCTTATTTACAAAATTGAATTGACTTGAAGCTCTTTCTGCAGTGTGGCTGTCTCACATATTTTACTGGGAGGTAGAGCTGCGATATTTACTTTTGATTTTTTTTTTTGACAATCTGAGATTTTTCTTAGCACTCTCATCAGTGTTTCACATGAGAGAATCAGCAGTAAGACTTTTATCACCCCAAAAAAAAGTCTTTAATCTAATGCCAGAATCTAAAACTGAAAGGAAAAAAATGTTTCAAATATGATCTATTTGAAACTACGAAGTAGATGGTACCGAATACACCAATACCAAAATATCCTACATTTCTGGGTAATAATCAGTTGAGAGTATCCTACGAAAGTTCTATACAGGACTACACAAAAATTCTACAAAAATTTATATATATTTTCAAGTGAATATCAAACTTGTCAATTACATTTTTAAAAAGTATCAATGAACTTCTAACATCAAGGTATTCAGATTTTTTAAATACAGCATCTACAATAAAAGTTAGTAGGTTGGAAAGGATTATACATTTATATAGCGGACAGTGTGAAAACACTTTTGGAGTATAACGAGGCGAGAAAATGGGGAGGAGAGGGCATAAGACATGAAGCTGCCTACAAATGAAAACTGGAGCTGATGAGTTCGGAATTAATTCTCCTTCAGGATCTTTGCTGCCCTCTTGTTAGCCTCGCAGATTCTAACTTCATTTGATGATGCCTGAAAACAAAACAGGGAAAGTATTAATAAACCTTTTTTGTAAAAGAAACAACGATAATTAGACAGGGAAAATAATCAATATTAGAAAATACCTAAAACATATTTTTTTAATGTGACTTTTAATACTATATTTGGATTTGATGAAGGATGTGGGATTGAAAAGGATGACAGATAGAAAGTCTGGAGGCTACAGAAGACATGATGCTGAGACAGATGGAGAGATTCATGGTAACATACCTTTGACTGGATCCTTTCAACCTGTCTGTTTTGTGCTGTAATTTCACTGCCCATATCTACAGCCATATTTCGTAGATTACCCAGCATGCCACTAACTTCTGTCAAGTTCTGCTCCATCTCTTCTTCACGGGCATCTTTTGTGATTCTGATTGATATATTCAACAATATTAAGCTGGGTCTAAGAGAAAATCTCTGACATCCAGATGTTTTCAACTAACTCTTATTTGTCAAATGATATCTGAGGTTTCCTTAAAGTCATACCAAAGTATTTCCTTAAATTCAGTCAGAAATAAAATTTAATTAATTCTGAATTCTGCTCTAAAAGTTGAACTCATGATTCAAAATACTTAACGATTTATGAAAAACCTCGCAAAACGTATTTACTTAGAAAAGTCTAAAAAAAAACTTAATACTTACACTGGTAAAAAGCTTCCCTGGGGCCCGGCCCCATTCCTGGAGTCCACAATCATACGAGGACCGTCTGTATTCACCTTGCCATCTTCAGACGACTTCCAAATGTTTGCATATTCACCGCCTTTTTCAAAATTTTTCGTTCTGAAACGATATGATTGCAAACCTTAATCACCTCCATGTGTGGACCTGAAAACCTAGAATAATGTCAGATAACATTGCAAATCAAAACTTTTATATGATCTGGATATGTTTGTTCACATGAAACAGAGCATAAATCTCTTCCCAGTTGACCACGCAGTATTGAACTGAATTGATATACATGTTTACATACATTTACAATATTATATTCCACAGATTAGAGATCTTTTCTGTCTTCAATAAACATATCAAATTTCTTATGAAACTGATTCTGATAGCAAGAATGAAAAAATTGGGCAACTTCCAATCTCTATATAGACACTCCTTGATCAATTAAACTAACCCAACACAGCTCTCCCTTTTTCCTGTACTGCAAATATCTTCAACACTATTTTATACAAAGAAGGCCAGATTCACGGTTTTCCTCACCTTCAATCTCTAGACAATCACGCCTGACCTGCCGAATCAACAACAGACTGGTCAGTCCATTTCTGATATACTTACATACAAGGTTATACATTCAAACACTTACTTTTTCCAAGGTAATACACACAGTCCACAGCATTTTTCCATGCCTTCCAAATTTTTCTCAGCATCCTTCATGTCTTTATTGATCTGGTCCATACCTTCCTCTATCCGATCCAGTTGCTCTGTAAATGTGTAACATTCGTGAGTATGCTACTAAACGTTGTTTACTACAGCTAGTATCAATACCTTTATTTCAAATTGATACTAGGCACATGGCAGAAATGTTTCAATAGATAATTATTACCTTAGAAAACATACGGAAAATAAATTATCTATGTATTTCACAAGTGATGGCTGGTTCCACACCTATTGCTCTTGGCTTCAAGATCATCAGAAAATTTTCCTTCAAATAATCATCTAATAATTTTGTTTGAAATTTTGAACACAATTGTTACTGTGTCTGTATGTTCATTAAACAATTTTGGATGCTTTCTATCCTAACCTCCTATCAGGCTGGGCTAACAATACCCAAATATTGCAAGAAATTTTGACAGTCATTCTGAAACATCTTACCGATTTCAACATGATATCGTTATCCATATCTGACAACCTTCCATTTGCTTAAGGTGGAAGATGTCCTTAAATTATAAATTTGACCATCATCCCAAACCCATACCACCTCCCAATGTACAATCTTTTCCATAATTCACCCAAAAACTGGCAGTTCCTTGGTCTACCAATGCAGTTTGGTTGAAACCATCCCATCAACTTAGGAGGATGTAGTGTTTAATTTCAGGCAAATAAAGGGAACATCAACCCAGCTTACTAATTAATAACAATGCACATGAACTTAACATCATATCTGATTGTTTATAAGGACATTAACAGTTCGTAACCTAGACTTCAAAATCATGCAATTCGACAACATTTACAATAATGTAATAAATAAAAACATTTCAATGAGAGACTGTTGGTTATCATATTTACCCTGAATAAACCACTACCCTCTATATCATTGTACAATGAAATTTCAAAAGTCGTTTATAGAACATAGCAACAATCATCCCAATTACGAGATATTTTCCAACAAAAACAAATAATGTTTGAGAAACCAGAAAAAGTCATGCCTTCAGTGTGTGATGTAAATGAAAATTACTGTGAAAAAAAAACTACAATTAAGTCACATTGCAATAACTTTGTCTAAATGTGTTGTAAAAATAGCATTTGTGAATTAATGTAACTGAAAATGGTTCTAGGCTTCTACCCAAACATGGGTAAAAGGTGTTTACTTCTGATGGTAGCTCTCTACCTGGCACAGAAAGCAAGGAAGTGCGGGAGACAATAAGGGTGAGAAAGTACATAATGAGAGAAAAATGTTAAAAAGCATGCAGAAAATTACAAGGATAACACCAACACCTGACAGTCTTATCACATATGCCCAGCAGTCAACCTTGAATAAAAACATACAGTAGTTAACTAGACCAAGCAGAGTACGGGGATCAATTGTAATCATTTAAGGACGAACACGCAGCTCCAGAATACAGACGTTTTTAAAGATTTTTTTTTTATTTTGGTCATTTATCAACCTTATTGCATTAATACTGTGGTATATCCTATCAAATAAAGAAAGATTCCAAAGCACCTCTATGTTATTGATCATTACTGTGTAACAGTTGCAGGTATCAAATTGTCTCCCCTGATTAAATTATCTCCCCTCATATTATAGTCATCTTATGGTCATCTTATGGTCAAGAGCTGATTGTTAATTTCAATTTTTACATATAGCACTCATGTATATGTTTGTGTTGTTTACATATGACTGTAAGATTGTAAATAATAAGTAAATGATGCCTATTTTCCACCAATAATTTTGTTTGAAAATTAATCAACAGCTACATCATTTATTTCCTATACAGAATTACAACTATATATCATTATTGTATCATTTTGTCTAAACATCAGAACTCTTGTTCTAAGGAATATTTGTATATAGAAAACATAAAGCCTTCTTGGCTCAAAGCCAGAGAAATAAATTCCTATATCCAGAGACTGTACCGACCACATGTATGATAGCGTTTAAATAAGATCATTTCTTCTGAATTGAATACTGCAGTGTTTACAAAGAGTTTAGTCAGTTAGTAAGCAGCACAAGTATATATGACAGTATATGGTCCATACCTCCCTGTTCATCCAGCATAACCAATGTCTTGATGCCCACCTCTTTACTCTTATATTACACACAGAGACCACGACGAGGATGCAAAGAAAAACAAAAGTCAGTAACGGTTACAATACAGATATATCAAAAAATTCTACAATAATATTGTATCTAGCTAAAAAAAAAAAAAGAAAAGTAATGAAAATTGAAAATAATAATACAAAACCAAGGTAAATCACGACACAAGTGCATTCCATATATCAGCCGGCTTACCTCCCTGTTCATCCAACATGACCAGGGTGTTGATGCCAGCTTCCTTACTCTACAGCACGCATGAGGAGAAAAACACACAATCAATTCCATACATTCTAGCTTCCTAATTTCTGGGATGTTTGTCAATAGTGCAAAACTCATTCAAGTATTGATATTTGAGATAAAAAGAAATTTGATTATACAAAATCTTTTATCGAGTAACTCCCATTTAAGATGTATTTTTTCACTCCTACTTATATCCTGTATAGATTTCCCCAGAAGTATGAGTTACCTCCTCTACTAACTTTGATTAATGCTTTTTGACATTTTCATCTTTTACCAGAATAATACCTGTGAAATGATGTTCAAAATTTCTTATCAAAGTTTTACTCAGACTCCCTTTTTTTGCAAATTAGTAGAAGCACAGGAGGTTTTACCAAATTCAGCTAACAATTAAAAGAGGGATGACAGTGGCAGTAACCAGTTAGCGTAAGCATTTAAAATCTAAGCTTGATTTAGTTAAAGAAATAGAAATAAAATGAGATATTTATGAGACGAGTTTTTCCTAATGTTTTGGTACAATTCTGTAATAACCCATGATATAATGATATTTTGATATCTTAAAATTTCTACCCTCTGGCTCAAGACAATTTCAAACAAATATTCCGACATGATACACTTTCATTCATGCCTTTTGACCATGAAAATGTCACCCTCCCATTCAAGGCCAAAAGGGTGCTTACTCTTAAGGATATCTTACATTAGATCATAAGACAAGTTAACGTGATGAGAGGATTTCCACGAATTTCCTTTTGAAAATAATTTGACCACGAAAGGAGAGAGAAAAAATTCTATCGGTATCGGACATACCTGGTACTTTTTCTTGATCATTCATGCAATCAGAAACATTTTTCTTAAAAAATAGAATTGTTCGATTATAGAATAATTTATTAATATCATCGAAGAAACAACAGAGTACAGATTATTAACACTGTCAATAAAACCATTACATAACATGTTAACACTGCTGTTATAGGTGCTGAAGGAAACTATTATATATAAGTATTGGTAGTTTGTATAAAAGGGAGGGACCATTTTACTGGTTCCACCTTACCTCCTCACACATCTGCATCATGCGCCTTGTACTCTCCAGTGACTGAAATAGGAAAGTTAGATAATAAATAAAGGGCCTGTTTTGCTTATCTGCATATAACCATATGTACTGAATATGTTACTATATAAATGTACATTGAAAAAATGGAATTTATAGGCTTGTATCTTCTTTAATGAATAAGTGAATACATTTAATATCATCATCAGTAGGCCTGGGCCTGTATTCATGAAACCACTCTCATGCTCAAGCATGAATTTTGTGCTTGAGCTTTATGCCTTGTTTACATTAAAAATTAATAAATAAGGCTGATTTCGCTAAAGATTCAAAAAAAAAATTTGAAAGGATTTCAAGTCAAAGTTATAATCAATATTTATATTTGACATTTGTATTATTTTATATCATTAAGGTGAATTAAAAGTTTGCTTGAGCACAAAATCTATGCTTGAGCATGAGAATAGTTTCATGAATACGGCCCAGGTCTGTCACATTACTAACATCAGGAGGATCTTTGACATATGATTTTGTCAGACAAGTGCTGGTATCTAAAAATCATTTTCACACATTTCATATATCTTAAAAAAAGTCTTAAAACCAAATTTGTTTTTTCTTAAACTTTGTAATCCTAGGTCTTCATCTGATAAGCAACTTATAAAAATATTGGACTTCAATTACATTGCCTTGTTATTTGGCTTCAAACATAAAACAGATTAAATCTTACATCATCAGTGACTTGGTTTGATTGAGCCTGGATCTCAGCAAGTTCTCGCCGCATGTCATCAGCACTTCCTGACCCTGTGACACCTCCTCCTGGGACATCATCAGCCAGTTTGGCATCATTGTTACTCATCTGTCAGATAAAAATTCCCATCAAAATCACCCAGGTATCATACCATAAAACAGTTGACAATTTTCCCCCTGCTGTGTGTCTTTCACTTCTAAAGTGCAAATATGCTGTGAGGGCAATGTTGAAGCACTATATTAGTTAATTAATCTTGTCATACTTAATCTTCATTAAACTTAATGAAGATTGCCATTTCAATCATGTCATGAGATTGTCTGAAGATCCTGATCTCATAATCAATTCACATCTAAACATAAGACAAAGGAAATAAGGCTAAAAGCATTATTTTAAATCATTTCCAACCATCTTATTCTTCAGTGGACCTTAAAACATTAAAAGATTACAGTTCACAAACCCAGGTCAGTTCTATAAGGTATAAGTAAAGTTTACATCACATGGTTATATATATACAATTGTGATATACATGTATTTAAGATTTTCTCTCAAAGGCACTTTCTTTATTCATTACATAGTTTAGTGTTTAGTGAATAACCCAGTATTACACATGTAATACAACCCATTTTGAAATCAGGTTCAGGAAATGATGTAACATCACACACAGCCGGATTATATTGTGAGGTATACAGAACTAAGATGACTTTAATGACATATACATGTCTAGGTTGTTTTTTTTTTTTTACAATACTTGCCTAAATAATTGATCATGTGATACAAATTATCTTTCATGAGTTTCCATATGATGTGTGATGTAGGAAATTTGTCACAATTTTTTATTTAAAGCTTGCAAAATGATCTTTGCTTTACTGCTTCTCATGCAGCTGATTGGAGAGTTGTAATTAGCAGCAGGATTATAAGTAGAGCGAGTCCTATGGAGAAAATGAGAGACGTCCCTTCTGATGGGACGCAAGACAAATGACAAACCAGATCCACAAACTAATTATATGGGAACCTACATCTTCTCTTCTTCATCAACATTTTGGTTGTGTGTTTTCCAGGGCATTTCATGTGCTGTTACAAGTAAACTATAACCTGGTTACAGGTATGACTGAAGTTTATTACATGAATATGTATTATAACATGAAATAATTTTCTTATGCATAAAGCAAAAAAAGTTGTTTTTAAATAATCAAAATAAACACTAAGAAGGCAGCATGTTTTTTTTCTGAAGTACATTATCATTGCATTTCCGGAATATTATTTACTATCATTGTCATTGCACTGGTGAGGAAGTTTTCTATTGAAATGATGGAAGAAGGATTACTATTGTTGTTCAGATAGACAAAATTGAGACTGATTCAGATTTTAAATATCAAATATCATAGAGTTTACATATATTCCTTGTTTTGTTTTTGCAAAATATGAAAGAATATGATTTTGATTTACAAATGTATATATGATTATTCATCATCAAAAGGCAAATTGACATACCATTGTCCAATGACAGGGCTCTCGATCTGCCAAATTTGGGGCCGAATTCCCAATGCAAAATAGTATCTTTTTTCACCAATTTAGACCCCAGGTTTTCCCAACTCTAAGGAAAACACCATTATTTTTCCCAATTCTAAGGGCCCCGGGCCCCAGTCCCAAAATGGGGTGTGAGAGCCCTGAATGATATTTTATGTTCTATAATTAAGCTTATATTGTCTCCACAATTTAGAGAAAATAAAAATATGAAATCTTTTGTAATTAAGGCCTAGATTGCCATGTCACAAAGGCTATTTAAATGATCAATAATACCATCATCACTGCTAGTCTGCAGTAGAACAAGCCATTTCCAAAATACACAAACATCTATACATTTGGTCATGGAATATGTACTAATATTATTAGTACTGTATCGACTGTTTACATTAGTATCCAACTGTTTGTAATATATCAATATTGGTACTGTTAATGACAGACATAAGTTCCAACATATTTCAGGGTAAATCTACAGTTCATTTCATTTACATCATATATATGAAACATGTGGTATCAACATATTTGAATCATTTTACTGGCTGGCTGAAAATGATAGAAGCATGCTGGCAAACTGAGGTAGCTTTATATAATCTGACGTGTGACCTGGCTGATTCCACTCACTTTTTCATAAAAGATACAAAGATAAAATCCTGGTTACCTCGGTGATCAACGTACTGCTCATATTTCAGAATGTCTACCAGTTATTCTGTTTCCTATAACCAAGTTGGCAGAAGCCTTTAAGTCTTTAATTAACAAAATTGTCTGATAATGAATCATTTAACCATCTTTTGACAACTACATTAACTGAAGACATATTGTTTACTTCTTTGCTTTTACTTCCAACAGTGAGAATAATTCTGTAATATAAATTATGACTAGATCTGTTGGTCTAGAGCTTGGAGTTCTCTGGTTCAAATCCTATTCTTGTATATGTATTTTTATCTCCCCTCGGTTTAAATATATCCAAGGATGATGACACAGACATAAGGTCTCCTATTTGTCTTCATCAAGGTCCAAGACTTCATTTGAACTGGACTGAGTCTGATTGTCTGTATGTAATACCTGTCAGATCAGTTTAGGTGGTCCTTGGTTCAATTCTTGCTCTTGTTGTTGTGCTTTCTTTGCTACTAAATGCCCATGAATGAACGTTGGTGTATGTATATTCGTATAGACATATATACATTAGGGTCTACTTCAATGTTGAAGGCTTAGCAAACAGAATTTAGACAATTACAGGAAGCTATAAAAAAGGGGGTAGCTCATTTAGTAGTGAAGGACGATGATATAATTGATTACCTTATTCTTTAACCACAATCAATGCTATGATCAATTCTTATTAGCTACCCTCTACGGTTACAGCATATTACATAAAGTGATAGACTTCTAGAATTCATGAATGAAAACATGTGCTTTGTTTTGTCAATATATGATTCTCACTAAAACAAAATAACATTATCAAAATCTTCAAATGTCACTATGATTATTTATGTTTTGATGCTCAGATCAGTAGAGTGTCAATCCCTTTGTTCATTTGTTGGAGGAACTAAAACTCAAAGGTCAATATACTGCACTCTATATGTTAATCCTAGGTTAATTATTGTAGTGGGAGCCAAACTCTTCTCATCCAAGAGTATTTTACTCAGATTTATACACATCTAGGAATTGAACAACACACATACAGAATACAATGTAAATACCTGTATGCAGGTACTGGAGCACAGGCAAATCAGGCTACAGAGGCATATTTATATTCTAATTACCTGGGTACCTGTATAGTAAAATCTAACTATATGTATATAGAGCAAATGTTAACAACTGAGTAATGCCTTGTCATGATCATAGTGTGCACATCAAATCTAGTGAGTTGCTAAAATGAATGATTTTTGTCATAAGACACCATTTCTGGTGAGTTGGTTGAATTTTGTTGTTGCAATTTTGATACTTGCATCAATTTTTGGTACTTGCATCCCTTAATCCATATGTTCCTATGATGAGACATGAAATTTTCGGCATTCATAATTAAAGCACTTCATATTTCACTTGCTGCGGCCACATAATTCACAATCATTGCAGGTTATAATAATATTTTGCATGAAAACATGCTGAAAGCACAACTTCGGCCCAAATCTGCATCAAGAGTATGCTTATCTGTACAAAACAATGCGTGAATGATGTCATGGACTTGCTATAGATTTTGTTACTACGTAGCTTGTGTACATAGATACTGAAAATATGTAATGATGAAATTAAAATAAAAATGCCTGAAATTGAGCAAAAAAGCAAACAACATTCAATTCATTGACTACATGATTTGCCACCATTTTTTTTCGATCTACACGAAAGAAATGTGACCAGAGCTCACCTGGATGTTTACTTTCGCTCTCTCTCTATATATATATATAGATGTGACTACAATGCCAAATCTGCCTATATAACCAGACATGACGGTGCTCCAGTACCTGTTATGTATATGCTACCCATATGTATCCACTCCTATCAGTCATAGTGTATGATAGGGGGTATGGTTATCATTTTTACGAACAGAATTTCTACTTTTCTCGGGAAAGTGTTTTGACTACAGATCTATGGTTCTGCGAAGGGATGGCTTTCAGTCTCAGACACCATACAAGAACGACAACCATTTTGATTTATACGCCTATGACTGTTTAGATTCGATATTCTTTACAATTCAGACAAGTCAGATTCAAATAAAATACCATTATTCTCATATTACCAGTAAAGAAGTCTTAAAAATACGACGATCAAACGACAAAACAACTCAAATTATTAATATGTGATTATCGAACTGCAGTATAAACATTGCCGAGTCTCTCCATCGATCGATCACAAGAAGCTGTCAAAATTTTATTAGTGTAAATTGGATCATTTTTCAAGTTCCCATATACATAATTACTACATAAGGTGTGAATAATAAATATACTTACTGTGGACAAATATGTTTCTTGGTAGTGACGAGATAAAATGTGATATTCACGATTTTCTGTCTGCCAAAACGGACACCTCTTCCTGCCGCAAAATGACGTCACATATCACATACATTTTCTTCTCTACTTCCGGTGAATTAATTATCATCTTATACGCCACACTGCATTAAACAAAATACAATTTTAATCGATTTTTTGTAACATAAAATATGTACTTTTGATGGAAATATATTAATCATTCGGCTGTAGTTTTAGTTAATTTTTCTTTCGATTCTCGATTTTACGCAAAAATTATGGGCAAACTTGATTAAGGTTTGCCGGCGTGTTATTTCAGTGGCAAAACGGCACACCACATTTCAAGGTCTTTGAAATCTTACAGATCCTTTGGAAACGATTGGGTTTTGTCAAAATTTGGTCCGAAGCATTCTTGGATGAAGCTGGGGGAATCAATTGTGAGTAAATTGTGGGTCATGCCCCCCTGGGACGGGACGCGGGGGTGGGGTTGGGGGGAGGCAGGACCCAATAGGGCAAATAGAGCACATACTATTGTATAATCCTTCTCTTTCTGTAGGAATGATTGGTTTTGCCAAAAATTAATCTGGAGCATTCTTGGGTGAAGGGGACTTTTTGTACAAAAAAAATGGGTCTCGTCCCTTGGGGTTGGAAAGGACAGGGTCCAATGAGAGAAATAGAGCAAATTCTTTCAAATCCTACTCCTCCTGTGGGAATGATTGAATATTGCTTGAATAAGACATTAGACGGGAAAAACTATGAATATTTGAATTGTATTTTCGAAAGAATAGATCGCTGAATTATGGGCAATTGTGTGTTATACCCATAAAACTTACTTTTTCCGCACAACCCGAATTCAAACGCCAGAATTTATCCCTCGTGAGCTTGTGCTATGAATGATCTCTCTCTCTCTCTCTCTCTCTCTCTCTCTCTCTCTCTCTCTCTCTCTCTCTCACACACACACACACACACACACACACACACACACACACACACAAGTAAAATATGAAATAACAGCATGATAAAAAACACGTGGAAATCAAAATCGAAAGGATTCAATTTTTACAGCGATATAATTATGAAGACCATAAAATGACCATTCAGCTCAGGAACAATATAATTTTGCACACGAACTATTTTAACTTAACTAGTTGCCAAGTTATTTGTAAAACCTTGAAGGACAAACTTGGAAATGTGCTAAAGAACTCCGACAGGTCTTCAGTGAATGTTGGGCCACAATGTGGTTAGATATTATAAAGTAAAGCATTTATAACATAACGTAATTCACATAATATTTCTTGATGTTTCTTTATTTTTAATTCAAACTTATCTATCGTCTTAAATTCTTGTTCTTTTTTTTTAATGTCATTTCTAATTATCAATCAAATGTTTGCTTGATTTTTGGATGGTAAAGTACGTAAGTCCACACGAGATGTAAATTATGACAATGGCATTGATTCTTGTAAACTTTTTAGAGAATCATAGACAACACAATACGTACAGTTACTATGGAAGCGTACTTATTCAATAACACCGACTTGATGGATTTCATCAATTCATCATTAGCTACAAAAATAATAGGGTATATAAAAACTATAATGAGAGAGTGAAAATAGTTTTTTGGAGAATCACAATAATAAACTTAATCGTTAGGTTTTATTTGATCAACCAGTCTTTAATTTTCATCCGTAATCAAAGACCCTTTAGTATTTGTACATACAGTAGTCTTCTGTTCTTGATCATCATGGCGTTTGTACTTATTATATCTATACTTTGTCAAACAAAGCACTGAACACGGAAGATGTCAGTCTGTGTACGGATATAGTCCACGGTATGTGTACGTTTTTTATATTTATTTTTTTTTTTAATTTTTAATTTAGATACCATAAAGAAATGTTTTCTCTGAAAATTGCTGTTTTGTACTTATCCTTTTTAGTACTTAAATAGTCATACAATGTGTGTGTGTTTTATGTCCCTCTTTTCTTCTTCCAATTAATAAGCATATTACTAATGATCATTACGTCAATTTTAATTTGGAAAAAGTGTGCACGTGACTTGTGAACTGATATATGTTTAGGTTCTGGTACAAGAACTAGTTTCAATGTTAAATTAGCGCGGAGATAATTTTACTTACAATATAAAAGAAATTTTCACATTTTTAAAAAATCTTGTGGTCCAAAAACCTTTGTCCTATACATACATTTGATGAATTATTTTAATCTACTAAATCAATATGGCAGCAACCAGGCATATTTCGATCTAATATCGGCGCAAAATTTCAGCATGTTGAATGAGGTCGATTAACCGGGGTAGCTGTAGAATCGGAGAATTGCGTCGTCCGCATGGAGGGAGGTCTCATTGTCAAAGTTAAACAACGTATGCTCCCTAATCAGGAATGAGGCTCAGCCTCGCTCTACGTGGACAACAAAAATGGCGACGGCTGCTGATGAAGCGCTAGCTAACGATGTCGGTTCGCTGACTGTCAGTGATAACGAGAAGCCTGTCACTTCTGACATGACAGACGAATTTGCAGTAAAGTGGGGATTCAAACTTCCAGAAGTGTACAGACTAGCTTTGAAATTCTACAAAGGTATATTGGAAATTAACCGGTGAATCAAAAACTGAGTTGTATTCCGACTTGTCAGAAATTAATGTTTACATGTTGTTGCATATATATCTTCCTGTTACACGAGAGAAAGCGCTTCGGAAATCCATGCCAAATCAGACACAGAAGTATGGTGGTGTGCATGTTTAGAAGCCCTTTAAAAATACCATGCTTTATATGACCATGGCTTCGATGTCTTTTGACCGCAAGATGACACATGCACTATCTTGAGGCTAGCCGGGATGATAACTTAGATTTGTAGGACTTTAAAGAGCGTAGCGCTTAATTTGCTAACTTATAGTATTTCGTATTTAGAAAATCAACTGTTGCACATATTTACCTATACCCTGGGTTTTCCATAAGAGCCGGTCACCGGCCAATTTGACCGGCTACTTTGATCATTTGGCCGCCTACACCAATCCAGTTCCGTAATAATGTTCCGTACACAACTACACATACACAGCAGGCTACCCTCCTACTTTCACTACACAGCCTACTACTAACAAAATTATGGAAAACCCTGTATACCAAATCATAGTCTTTGACTGAAAGTAAGCTTATGAGTTATGAAAAAAATAAGAGAGCAAAGCCATGTCACATTGACGTTTAGCAAAATTTCAATTTCACACATTCTTTGGATGATTAGCCCCAATAGCATCAGAGTAGATTTTTCATTTTATTCCATATCTATCAACTGGTTTTGCCCTATGTGGGCTTCAGGATCCTAAGAAGCTTGCTTAGGGCAAAACCAGTTGATAGGCATGGAATAAAATGAACAACCTACCTTGATGCTGTTGCGGTTGGTGAAAATGAGCAGAGTAAATTTAGAATTAACTTTATAAACAGTCTTCTTTGATGATACATTTGACAACTTGTCATTTGAACTTCACAGATGTGGACTTCAGAAAAAGGAGTGGTATTTTTTGCATCAACTGATTGTGTTAGTTTTTTGCTTTACCTTTATTAAGGGAGGGAATGATTTAAATTGTTTATATTTTTACAGAAAAGGATGGGAAAGCCATTCACCTTACCTACAAAGACAAGCTGAAGTTGGTGGCTTACACAAAACAGGCATCACATGGGAAGTGCCGAAATGACATCTCCCCTGAGGTGGGATTCCTTGACGTAGTGGGCAGTGATAGAAGGTAAGATAATGCACTATTCCTGGTCATACAGTCGCTGATATACCAGGGCTCTCACACATGGTGTTTTCCTTATAATTGGGAAAACTTCGGGTCTAAATTGGGGAAAAAAAAATACTATTTTGCAGTGGGAATGGGGCCGGTTCGGCCACAAATCTGGCAGATCAAGAGCCATGTATACATAATGATTGTATTGGTCTGTGACCAGCATTTATGTACAGCAGATCGGATTGTTTTAGAAACAGACCTTTTTTACTGCAGAAGCTGGTTTGTACCAGTCTGTATTTTGTCATTCTATCCATCCACATTACCATTTCCCTGACAATAACAGAAGTTCAAGCAGGTTGATTAGACTTCGCACACTGCTTACTTATCGGACATGCTTGCTTGGGATTGTTGTTTGATTGAAAAGGTCAGGTGTTGAGGTGACTTACTATAAAAACAAAATTGCAAAAATTACAAATTGAGAAAAATGTCAGACCTAACACATGTATATAACTTTTTTTACTACAGACAAGTGTTACATCATAGAACAATGTCAGACCTAACACATGTATAACTTTTTGTCTACAGACAGGCGTGGCAGGTACTTGGAGATATGTCACAAGAAACTGCCATGGAAGAATTTGTCAAACTGCTGGACAGCCTCAGTGGCTTGTTCAGGCCTTATATAGATGCTCACAAGGTTGAACATTTGGAAAAAATCCGAAAACAGTAAGTCAGCAATACCCTTTGTTTTATTTGAATCTCTGTCAAAATGACAAAATTGCCTGGTACTTGGTTAAGTAGTACATTTAGAAACTGTACAGTTTTAGAACATAAATTAGGCGTTTTCACATTTTGTTTATTTTGCAAACGCTATTAACAAATGAGAGATACAGTCCCCTTGCACCTTTTTTATATTTCTTTTATTTAATATTGAAAATATGAATTTAATTACCTGGTAAATGAATATGTGATGACGATTATAACACTGTTGATATTGATTATTTGATGATATACTACCATTGTCAGTAATCTCATTAATATTGCGATGTTTTAATATTTTTATGGAGACTGATAGTACTTGCTTAAAGGCATACCTAAATTCTCCAACATGTGGTTTTATTAAATAATTCCAAAGTGTATTTGTATTTCAAATTAATACTGAACTGAGTTTATTCAAAACAATTTTCTTGTTTTAAAGGAAAGAAGAAGAAGAAAGAAAAAGATTAGAAGAAGCTGAAAGAGAGCAACAGAGACTCGAAGAGGAAGCAAGACGTCAGCTGGAGATGGAAAGACAGAAACAGTTGGACCAGGAGTAAGTACACATTGTTATCTAGTTCTTCAGACATGAAGTAACCATGAGATGTTATGATGAGACAGCCCACTTAATGACTGTATTAAAGTTTTGACAAACTTGTAATTTCAGTGTTTTGAATTTTACCGATGAGAAAACTGAATTTTCATCCAATGTTCATTTTCTGCAAAATGTTATTGCAGAAAGGTTGTTGCTCATAATGATGGTTCTTTCTCATCGTCTTTTTTAAACAACTTCAAGTGACAATGTGTGTGATAAAGATTCTATTCAATATTCTTAAAATACATTGTGTTGATAATTAACCTCATCTGTTAAAAGATTAGGTAAACATATTTGGAGAATGGTGTTGGCAAGTTCATCCATATCCTCCCTCTAAATATGTGCCATTTTGAAATTTCATTTTATTTTTAAAACAAACCTCATTTTGAACAGCAGAGGTGTAAAATTACACTAGCTCGATGCCCAGGGCTAGTGATTTTCAGGTCAGGACTAGCTATTCCATTACTCTAACTAGCTCATGGGCTAGTGAAATTCTTCTGTTCTATATCTGCATTGAAAGCCAACCAGGTTTGGTACACATTTCTGATAACTATAGACATAATAATTGGTCAGGGTCTTAAAACTTTACAACCACAGGTAGTTTCCATGGGTTCACTAAGTTTCTCAAATGTAAACAATACCTTATACCTTCATCGAGGTGTATCAAATGCTTCGTTATGTCATGGTTGGATTTAAGAATTCAAGTGTAGGAGTACACAGATCAGGGCTCTTGATCTGCCAGATTTGGGGCCGAATATCCAATGCAAAAATGAGTATCTTTTTTTCCAAATTTAGACCCCAAGTTTTCCCAATTTTAAGGAAAACACCATTATTTTCCCCATTTCTAAGGGCCCGGGGCCCCAGTCCCAAAATGGGGTGTGAGAACCCTGCAGATGTAAATGCAAGTTTAATGACACATAAACAAGCTTGAAAATTGCAGGGATAAGTTAGATAAGAATTGTAATATAAAGGAACAGTAAGTGAATCTGTCACCCTGATTGTTGATGGTTCTAAATTATAAATTAAACAAATCCTGATGCTGTTGAAATTGAAACAAGATTTTTTGTGCTTATTGTGGTACCGCTTTGATAGGTGTTCATCACACAAAATATTTTATTTATGTGAAGATATGTTTAATTGACAGATGTTTACAACATAATCTTCTGAAATATATATTTCTCAGTACTTTTTGTCGACTTTATACTTGCAACATTGCAAAGTTAGAGGTAAAAACTTTTATTCAGTCACAATTTCCTATGGGAAATATAGGAATGTTAATGTCATAGATATTAATGCCATTAGTTCAGATCCAATGTATACTTTGTCGCCTTATCAGTGTTTCCCACTCGAAATGAGAATAAAGCACACATATATAGAAATAGTAGTCCAGAGTGACTAGCTAAATTTCAACTTAATAAAATCAGAAGATAGTTTATGGAAGTGGTTGTATTAAAATTTTACATATTTTGCTGTTAGATTTATGATTTAACTCAACAGTTAATAATTAGGCTAAGTTAGGATAATTCAGTTTGTTAAAAAAAATATTGACATGATTGGGTCTTGGTATTTAACTATCAGAATATTTAACTTGTATGTAGTAAGTACCAGTTCAATAAAATTCCAGTGTTCCCATGGTAAACTTGTATAACAGTTTATAACTTTCATGTTGATTATTAACTTATTGCACAGAAACCAAACAAACAGTATCATTTATATATGTTTAATGCTTTATTGAACAACACAGATGTGATCAATTTCATGAGGAAATCATAGAAAAAACATTGCATTTAGCAATGATTGGAAAATTGCAAAAGTGGGGCTAGTAGGTATAGTTTTGATCAGGGCTAGTGAGGAAAAGTGACTCACTAGCCCATGGGCTAGTGGAAAATTTGCAGAATTGTACATCCTTGAACAGTAGTTTATCTTTTCTATGTTTTAGTAATATAAAATACAAATAAATATAATAATAAATACAAAAATATGAATTGTCATGATAAAACAATCATTTTATTAGCTGGGTGGGTTTAGGTTTGTAATCATACCACTGTTAATCCTGTATGAACACTCAAGAGTGTGCTGCAGTAAGACGTAGTCATGTGTGACACAAGTTAATTCTTTGATCCTGTCATTTGTTCAAAGAGAGGGTGCAAAATACTATCAACAAATAAGGAGCAAGGATAAAAATGAGATGAGGAATGCAGAAATAAGGGTTCAAGGATTCCGAAGTTGAATGATAGAAAATGTATGAGGACACAGCCGGGACCAAGCAATCAGTTTGACAATAGAGGGTATTCAAATCATGTAGATTCGAGAAAGTGGGGTTTTTAACTGTATCTGTGAAATGATGTTTCTTGTTGGTACAAAAATGAAACAATGACGTTTGTGTGTTGTACATTCAGATACCATATTTTGCAAAGATTCAGCCACTACAACTGGAATTTCATCAACTGATTAATGTTGAATTTTTCATTTGTTTTGACAGAATGCAGATCCGAACAGCTTTGAACCAGCAGACAGCTGTACAGTTTAGTCAATATGCCCAACAACAATATCCCACCAACAAACAACAGGTACGTACTGTTGTCATATACCTGTTCATTTACAACTTGCTTCTGCTGTTTCTTGCTTGGATTTTGGGAGGGGATTAGGAGTTTGCATCAGGTTGGTTTTAGCTGAGATTATGAAAAATGACAAACATACCTGCCTTGCATTTCATCTACAACTTTAAACACCCTATCTGGGTTGGAAGTGTATCATAAATGAAAGTTGGACAACAATGTTATGACATAAAATTTTGCTCAGTTTGCATGAAGGTAGTTTGGATGTCCGGAATTTATCTTTTGATTTGCTTTTCATCCATGATAGCTACATTATTGTCACTCAACCCAATAAAAAAGATTTAAGCTCACCTGGCTTTGAAGGATAATACCATATTTCGCTACAAGCAAGAGCTCTCCACACTTTTATGTGCCTGCTAGCAAAATAAAGGTTGCTTGGTTACATTTTCAATCTGGTTTAAAAAAAAAATTGGGCCAATCGTACTGTGATAATTATTTCTGAAACAAGACATTACTGTCTAGCCAGCTGTGTCCATAAAGTTGCCATTTCTGGCCACTGTTTCTTGTGTTATTGGTATGTCTGGGCCACAATCAGGATAAAGGACTCACCATTGTTATTATTTTGAAGAAAAATCTTGCCTCAGAATATGTCATGATTCCCAGTTGCATTTTTTGGTGGCCTACTTGTGAAAGGTTAACATCATGTCATGTGCACTGGGTCTTGCCTGACATTTCCTTTCTTTGTCAAGGTAAAAGCCATTCATTAAAGCAATGGTTGTCATGTTGTATCAAAGTGTTTAATTATTAATCCATGTAAACAACCATATATCAATCAGCTTTCAAGTCACACCTCCATTACTGTGGAGGTTTCCTTTCATAACAAGTTGTTTTGCGTCATTTGTCTTTTCAAAAGTAAATCATAGACTAAAGAACCAATTTACTTAAATTATTTTTAACTATAGCAAACTTTTGTCACTTTCTGACTACCGATAAAAGAATAAGGTTTTAAGCAGCAACCAGGGACAGTTATTTTGTTCAAAAATCAATAACAAAAACAAAATTTTCTGTTTTCCGGTTATTGCTTCATAACATCAACATTAACATATCATAGTCATCAACAAATAGCAATATATTACTTGCCAAAGTCATCAGTAATAATAGTTATGTGTGAACAAAAAAAGTATGATAAATTTCCAAGAAGGTGGACACTAATGTATTGGGAGAAGAATGCTTGCAAATAAATCAATATGTTATATGTCCATCAAAAATGTTGACTAGCTCAGCACATATTTTTGGGAACATCATGCTGCTGTTTCCCTGATTGATGAATCAGTCAAGATGTAAAACCACATTTACAACCACCTTTTATCCTTCAGAAAAAGAGATGTGGCTCGGAATATTTGTACCTTGTTTTTAAATTTGGATGGTACTCTGACAATTTCAAAAAATAGAAATTAAACCTGCTTTCATATATGTAATATATGGTGTGTTTTAAGACCAAATAACAGACACATAACTATTCATATAAATATTATGGACTAGTGATGGAAAAACGTTGTATAATGCAATGACTACCTTTAATTGGTTTTTCACACCCAGCCAGTTACTTTGTGGTAAACACACATGTGAGTATGCTGTATGAAGTGTCTTATCCCTGGAGTCCCCTTCATAGGGTAGAGAAGGTGTGTCTTATCCCTGGAGTCCCCTTCATTGGGTAGTGAAGGTGTGTCTTAGCCCTGGTGTCTCCTTGATAGAGCAGTGAAGGGTGTGTCTTATCCCTGTTGTCTCCTTGATAGGGAAATGAAGGGTGTGTCTTATCACTGGTGTCTTTTTGATAGGGAAGTGAAGGGTGTGTCTTATCACTGGTGTATCCTTGATAGAGCAGTGAAGGGTGTGTCTTATCACTGGTGTGTTCTTAATAGGGAAGTGAAGGGTGTGTCTTATCCCTGGAGCATGATTGATAGGGAAGTGAAGGGTGTGTCTTATCACTGGTGTCTCCTTGATAGAGCAGTGAAGGGTGTGTCTTATCACTGGTGCGTTCTTAATAGGGAAGTGAAGGGTGTGTCTTATCCCTGGAGCATGATTGATAGGGAAGTGATGGATGTGTCTTATCCCTTGAACATTATTGATAGTGAAACGAAGGGTGTTTCATATCTCTGGCGTCTCCTTGATTGATAAGTGAAGGGTGTGTCTTATCCATGGTGTCTTCTTGATAGAGCAGTGAAGGATATGTCTTATCCCCAGTGTCTCCTTGATAGTGAAATGAAGGGTGTGTTTTATCACTGGTGTCTTCTTGATAGGGAAGTGAAGGGTGTGTCTTATCACTGGTGTCTCCTTGATAGAGCAGTGAAGGGTTTGTCTTATCACTGGTGTGTTCTTGATAGGGAAGTGAAGGGTGTGTCTTATCCCTGGAGCATGATTGATAGGGAAGTGAAGGGTGTGTCTTATCTCTGATGTCTCCTTGATAGGGTAGTGATGGGTGTGTCTTATCCCTTGAACATTATTGATAGGGAAGTGAAGGGTGTGTCTTATCTCTGGTGTCTCCTTGATAGGGAAGTGAAGGGTGTGTCTTATCCCTGGTGTTTCCTTAATGAAGCAGTGAAGGTGTGTCTTATCCCTGGTGTCTCCTTGATTGATAAGTGAAGTGTGTGTCTTATCCATGGCATTTTCTTGATAGAGCAGTGAAGGATATGTCTTATCTCTAGTGTCTCCTTGATAGAGCAGTGAAGGTGTGTCTTATCCCCAGTGTCTCCTTGATAGGGTAGTGAAGAGTGTGTCTTATCCCCGGTGTCTCCTTCATAGAGCAGTGAAGGATATGTCTTATCCATGGTGTCTTCTTGATAGAGCAATAAAGGGTGTGTCTTATCCCCAGTGTCTCCTTGATAGAGCAGTGAAGGGTGTGTCTTATCCCTGGTGTCTCCTTGATAGCATTTGATATAGGAAGGATAATTTTACTCTAACCATGAAATAACTGTTACAGGGTGACTAAACACCTAATCTAATTGTCTACACACTTTGTGTTTAGTTACTATGTCGAATGCTTCATTAGCCTGCCATCACCATCCTTTAAATGTCAAAAGAAATATTTGTATGTTTAGCTCTTGGGTACCTTGAAGTCAGTTGAAGATGTGATAAAACACTTTCTCATGGAATTTAACAGTTGTCACCATTTCAGGACAAGTGAATATGAAACCATTATGGAAATTTCCTATTTAGTGACAAACTCTGGTTGGAAGTACCATGGAAGACTTGCTCTCTGTCTTTGTTTATCTATATTACTTTGAGCTAACTTTGTATAGGTATGTCTGTTTATGTGTATTAGACTACCTGTCATGGTGTCCAAAATCTAGTTAAATCTCTTTATTCAGGTTGAAAACTCATACACAGTGACCTGTATCACCTACATCTGACCTGCTTCTAGTTTAAGGCTTCATCAGGTAGCTGAATGCTGTGTATTAAATCATGTCGTCTGCTTCCTGTTCTCATAGTTGTGCCTCTTGGTAGAGAGTTTGATTAAAAAAGACTGACTAGAATTTTGGCGTTGTTGCAGTACTCTACTGAAGCTAATTGTCCATCCATTAATATGGATCTGTTGGGACATAGTGTTACCCATATCTGGTCTGTTCCTAATCATTTTATACCAGAGTTTGATCACAGTTTATACAATTATCAAGTGGCAAAGTTGAAAGATCTAGGTCACCATTACTGTGAATTTTCCAGGAATCTTCCACATTTCAATGTTACTGCTGTTATTACTTTATTTCTGTATGGATTTCTGTCAACATTAACAAGGTCACCAATGAGAAAACCTCGGGGAATCTGGTGTTCCAAAGTCATGGTCATTGTTACTATATATAAATGTGACATTATCTACAGTTCAGTATAGGTTACCATGATAACAGGAAATTTCATACCACAGCAATATTTATATTGCTACATACAATTAATTAGAGACTATTGAACAGTCTCATTTCATTGTTGCTTGGTGAGCAACGGGAAAGCTTTGTATAGATCTGTGTGTTGTGTCTGTGCTAGTTATTGATTTACATCTGGCCCTGTATACTGGCTTGTAGCAGGAAGCGGCTTTGTAACCAATGGATCAGCTACCTCCCCAGCTAGCTATCCTAAGATGTTGTGTTTACACCTTACTCTGACCTTCATCTGTCCTTTACAGATCTAGCTGAACCTTCTGTCAAGTGGTTTTTTTTTGTTTTGATAATAACGGTGCTTAACCTGAAGTGGTGGTTTTAATGGTGGAGGTATCGATGTAAACCCTGGTTGTAGCTGTCTGTTAGTGTTTTTCTGGTGACAGGAATATTCAACTGTTGAGTGATCAGCTACCTCTACTTTGTAGCTGTCTCTTGGTAAGTTGCCTGTTTCATAGTGTGAATTTCCTAAACTTATAATTGAATATTTCTGCTCTGTGAGACAGCTTATTCTCATTATGATGTGCCAGTGTTGTTTTTGCTTTACAAGGTTTTCTCAGTTTTTTTGTCAATACTCATTTCAGCCAAATGCTTTACAAACAATCTTTCATCCAGCTGCAGTCCATCCCTCAATTGTTGTTATTTTCCTGAAAAATCCACTTGGCATATATGAAACATATGTAAAGCAGACATGTATAAGACACTTGTTAGGCAGGCATATATAAGACATGTAAAGCAGACATATATAAGGCAGACGTATATCAGACATAATGTAAAGCAGGCATATATAAGACCTGTAAAGCAGACATATATAAGGCAGACATATATCAGACATGTAAAGCAGGCATATATAAGACACATGTTAGACAGGCATATATAAGACATGTAAAGCAGACATATATAAGACACATGTTAGACAGGCATATATAAGACATGTAAAGCAGACATATATAAGGCAGACATGTTAAGCAGGCATATATAAGACACATGTTAGGCAGGCATATATAAGACATGTAAAGCAGACATATATCAGACATATGTAAAGCAGGCATATATAAGGCATATATAGGAACTAATTGTAATTTGTCCCTATATATAGTCAGAGTTAACATTGGTTCTTGTTCTGAACTCCTAGAACTGTCAAGGATTCAATTTGTCTCAGTAAATATCAACACATGCAGTGAAATGATATTGAATCCTGTTTTTGAGGAAAATAAAATGTCATTTTTCTTCTAGTAATATTTGATGAAAATGAAATGTGAATTGCCTGTGGATCAGTTATAATAAAGTGAGAATAATTACATCAATAAATCGCATCTCAGTGAGTATCTAATGTCATACTAACAATGTCTATCCTTTGCACATATTTATGCTCATCCTAACTTAATGGAAAAACAGATAGGTGTAAGTTAGTTATCTGTCAGAATCAGGAATTGGGGAAACTAAAAATAACAAACGCAATACATTTATAGTTAGTAAAGAAAAAAGTCATATTCTAAAAAAAGTAGTAAACACAACGGCCAATAGAGATATATCCAGTTTGATGTAATGGCCCTTAGGTGGCCTTGTCATCTTTTAAAGATTTTGTTTCAATTTCCTTACGAGCAGAGTACACATTTGCGATGATTCAGAATAATACTATATGTGATGACATACTTTGTTTTGCCTTTATTTCAAGTGCTCATGGTTTTTTTTCTTTTTCCATTGGAAAAAAAACATTCATTATCTTAAATGCATATCATATGACATTTGTTTGTATGTTGTGGAGAGATCACTACTCCTCATCAGTACTCAAGTCTGCTTGAGAAGTAATTTTGTGTAAAGTGTCAGTTTGAAATTACTTAAAATGATGACAGTATCTCCCAACTATACACAAATAATTTTAAATACTAGTTTATGTTTACTTTTTACTTTTCAGTCTGTTATACAAACAAAATATCTTTACTCAGTAAGTAGAAGAATGTTTGAAATATCACTGATATACGACTGTCACATCAGTTGTTTTGATTCTTGTTATATGATAAATATAAACCCCACTTTACCAACTGACATCTGTAACAAGGAATAACTTTTTCTCAATCTTTTGTGTGAGAACTTTCAGTATTTTGATTCTTGTTTGGCAGCAAGAGGAGCTAATTCGTCAGCTGCAGGAGCAGCACTTCCAGCAGTATATGCAGCAGGTGTACCAACAACAGTTACTCCATCAGCAACAACAATATCAGCAACTGCAGGACATGGCCCAGACTGGCACTGGTCAGCCCCCCAGACCCCCACCCCCAAAGGTCAGTCATACAGAGGTCACCCAGACTGCCACACCTCTTCTACAAAATGGTGATAGCAGTACTACTCCTACAACAACAGCAGTAACAGAAAACGGACCTATGTCAGTCCCTCCTCCTACATCTGTCCCCAGCAATGAAGAAGACAATCCAGGTAGGCTACTGAATATAGTCCTGCAGCACACTTTACGTAGCTGGTCACTCTGACTTTGACCTTCCAGTTAACAGTCAAATAAGTGCAAATTTTCCAATGCTTCTTTGTCCTGGCAATAACTATCAAACCATTTAAAATATCTTATTGAAAGTTGTAGTGTATTTTTATCAGTTATCACTGACGAAGCACAGTGACTACAAGATCCAACCAGTAACAATGTTTGTTCTGGTGATAAATTTTAAACTGTTAAAGATATCTTAATGAAACTTGCTGTGCACTTTGATCATTCACTGACCAAGTTCAGTGCTATGTCATTTGATCGTTGCATCCTTGATGTGTGAAGGTCAAAGGTCAAATAAGCGCATTTTTCTCTCCTTTTTTTAGCCCACCATCTATTAGATGGTGGGTTATTCAAATCGCCCTGCGTCCGTGGTCCGTGGTCCGTCCGTCCATCGGTCTAGGCATCCGTCCGTCCGTAAACAATTCTTGTTACCGCTTTTTCTGGAAAAGTACTGGATGGATCTTTTTCAAATTTCATATGCAGGTTCCCCTTGGTCCCTAGTTGTGCATTGTACCTTTTTTGGACTGAATCGAATTCAAGATGGCCGACAGGTGGCCATCTTGGATTTTGGAAGTAAAAGTTTGTTACCGCTATTTCTGAGAAAGTACTGGATGGATCTTCCTCAAATTCCATATGCAGTTTCCCCTTGGTTAGTTGTGCATTGTACCTTTTTTATATGTTTGAAATATCAAGATGGCCGACAGGTGGCCATCTTGGATTTTGGATGTAAAAGTTTGTTACCGCTATTTCTTGGAAAGTACTGGATGTATCTTTCTCAAATTTCATATGCAGGTTCCCCTTGGTCCCTAGTTGTGCATTATACCTTTTTTGGACTGATTCAAATTCAAGATGGCAGACAGGTGGCCATCTTGGATTTTGAATGTAAAAGTTTGTTACTGCTATTTCTTGGAAAGTACTGGATGGATCTTTCTCAAATTTCTTATGCAGGTTCCCTTTGGTTCCAAGTTGTGCATTATACCTTTTTTGGACTGATTCAAATTCAAGATGGCAGACAGGTGGCCATCTTGGATTTTGAATGTAAAAGTTTGTTACTGCTATTTCTTGGAAAGTACTGGATGGATCTTTCTCAAATTTCATATGCAGGTTCCCTTTGGTTCCAAGTTGTGCATTATACCTTTTTGGACTGATCCGAAATCAAGATGGCTGACACTGCTGTTACTGCTATATCTAAGGAAGTCCTGGATGGATCCTTCTGATATTTCATAAATATTGGTTTCCCTTGGTCCCTAGTTGTGCATTGTACCTTTTTTGGACTGATTTGAAATCAAGGTGGCCCACAGGCAGCCATCTTGGATGTTGACAGTAATGCAGCACAAGCATATTTTCCATTATCCACCTGTAACTGACTGCTATCTAATAATACTTTGGGATCTTTTTCAAATGATATTTGCTAATAGGTGCTTAATAAAAATATCTTGTGCCGTCATTGAGTACATTCAATGAAGACCAGTTCATGAACATTTACAACACCTGTAACAAAAATAACATGTTGAACCAATTTCAATGAAATTTCCCAAAAGTCTGCCATGGCTAAAGGCACACCAAAACTGTAAATTATATGGTTCCCAACCCCCAGGGGCCAAAAATGGTCAAATTGATTTAACATTCAAAAACCTTCTTATCAAATCCCAGGCATGGTAGAATGAAGGACTCTTCATGGATGAAAAGGCCTTTAGATACTTTACCAAAATTGTTAATTTCCTGGCCCCAGGATCTCGCATTTCCCCCGAGTAAGGGGGGTAAATTTTCAATAGTTTTTTTATAGGAGTACCATATTTTTGAACATTGTTTCTTTATTTTCTATTGGAAATAGTTCAAACCTGGTTATAATTATTAGTTTTAAATGGTGGTTAATGAGATGCACTTTTTTACTTCGGCTGACCACAAGGGGCTATTGGGCGGGGCCAAATTCGGTTAAATTGACTGAAATTTCAAATATCTTCTCAGATCCAAGGTATGTTAGAACCAGATACTCTTTATGGATGAAAGTGTCTTACAGTGCTGTATAAAAATTGTAAATTTCATGATCCCAAGTTCTCACATTTCCCCTTGGGAGGGGTTAAAATTTACTACATTTTATATAGTAAAATTACATTTATGAGCAGAATTTGTTTTATCAGAAATAGTTAAAACGTGGTTAGATTTTATTTATTAATATAAGCTGACAATTTGATGAGATGCACATTTGAACTTGACTGACCCCCAGGAGCTGATGGTTGGAGCTAAAAATGGGTCAAAATGTTCCTGGATAGAAGTTTTTTTATATAAAAAAATTCAAATCATGTGTAATTTCTTTTAACTCAAACTTGGTTAGAAGTCTTAGCATGGGACAGCAGTCAACATATACGCAGTTTACATTTGCATCACAGGTATAATGAAGTTAAAGTTAGATTACCTTTATTAACAAAGTCATTTCTATGACTTGCTACAAGAAACATTGTTACTTGAGTGACCATTAAGGCCCTCGGACCTCTTATTTTCTATAATTTCTTATTTAGAAAATGATTTTGTTTGAATACAATCTTTTGTGGAGAATAGATTTCGAACGGTTATAAAGATATATTGACAAAACTCAAAACATATATACATCACCTGCAATATGCAGGGTACTATATACATCACCTTCATTTTCAGGTCATGGATCGGTAGAGTGCTGAAATATTCAATGCTTGGTCAGGGAAAAGGGAAGACTTATGTTTTTGTTCACAAATATCTGTTGCCATTTATATTGTAGGTTGATTTAAAACACTGGTCCATGTACAAATGTATTTCAAGTTTCAGACACCAAGAAGCAGTCTGTTTGGTTCAGTGTAGATTTATACATGATGGATGTCTTATGTGCAGAGATGAAAAATTTCTGCCGATCGGCGGATTTCCGCCTTTTTCGTGACAAATTTGGTCATTTTTTAGATCGATGCAAATCCGGTGAGAAAATTTCAGGGGTGGCGGGGTTAGGTATGTCTTGATGATGCATTTTATTTTTAAGCAATCTTCATCAACTCCGTTCTTAAATCCTTTGATTTATATGCCCTTATAAACTGTAAAATTAAACATCGAGCAATTACGAGCACCGAGTTTCCAGTATTGTCAAATCAATAATACGAAGGGAGATAACTCTTACATCAGTCGAACGATTGAAAGCTATATTTGAATTACAACAAAGATGAAAATTTTTTGCCGATCGGTGGATTTCCACCTTTTCCAATGCCAGCCACTTTCATCTCTGTATGTGCCACTTTGGTATAACTTTGTTTTCTGTATACAGTGAAAGACTTGAAGGTTTATTACTTACGCCTAAAAAACTGTTTCAATGTTGTACCTCAGTCAAATCTGGACCAATTCTGTTTTGCTCTGAAACATAATCAGTCTAGATGTTTAGGTTCATAGTGTAGTGTAACTTGCCACATTTCAGACCAAATCCCAGCTCCCATGCCTAACCTGATGCCACCATCCGTCTGGACACGTAAAGGTGGCCAAGGCTTCAAAGATTCAGTTAAGGGTTGCAAAGAAAATGTCATATACATTGCCTCGTTGGCTACTGCCACGGTAGGTAGTCTGTCCCTGGCTGGTAGCTTCAGAGTCTTGTTCCCTTAACACTTACGAAAACATTGGAAACATTAATCAAAGCAGATACTGTTTGAAGAGGATTACAATGAACTCTTCAACTACAAATTAGATTTTTTTTTCTAAAGATAATTGCAAAATTGACAAAGCTTAAAATGTTTTTCTGAGTATGGTGTTGAGCTACAACAAGACTTTGTTAGATGCCGGAACTGCATGCCAAGTCTTGTGACTCTCTTATTTTTATATTTAGTTAGCACTTGTTCTTTCTTTATGTTGTGTTTCTAGATGAGTTACCCCCAATTGCAGCGGCGTCCATGTGGACACGCAAAGACATGAAAGATTTCAAGGAACTTTTATGTAAAGAAAAAGATGCTGTTATAAAAATAGGCTCAGGAGAAACAGTCACAGTAAGTATTGTTATTTTACTGTACTCGGGGGACAATAGGGGAAACTGTTGATATTTTAGTGTCACCAGTAAGCTTAGGGTGTTGTTCTAACATTTGGACCAGTTTAAGTGCAATAACTAATAAGTAGAATTTATTTATCATTAAATTTTTGTTAAAGTTTTGGCGGTATCAGAAACACATGGCCGTTTAAGTACTACTGATTGTTTAGATCACTGACTTTTATGCACTTAACTGACTTCTATGCAGTTATTTTCCAACAGAGTTCTTTTTTTGGGAGAGGAATCTATGTAAAATGAACATTCAGGCTTGGTTTTGAAATTGGACATGATAACTTGTAGGGATAATGTGTTTTAAATGTCGGTGTATAGTATATAGGTTATTATTGCCTAGTTGAATGCTTGATTTTTATGTGACATCCTGAAATACTTCTGTTAACAATTATCTACTAAAGTGGGGTCTTAAAGTTTGAGAAATCTGAAATTTAAAAAAAAAAGCCAGAGATGATTTTGGATTTCAGTAGTATTACTGCAGCAATTCTTAGATTTCGGAAAAAAACAAATTTCAAATAAAATATCCTGTAACTGTAAAATTTCTGTACATTGTATTTAGCTCAAGCAACACTTACACCTCCATAAAAACCTTTCTATATATTTTTGTTGTGCACTCTCATATAATTAGTTTTGCTTCTATCTACCAGTTCTTACGCTTAACCTTTAGCTAAAGTTTCTGTGGAAAAAAAAACGGAAAGTTTGTACGTGTTTGCATGCTGGCCCCACCTTATTTGTGTACTTCTCTTTAATGTGCTTATATCATGATTTTCAATTTCATTTTGTAAGCATGTTCTGAATGCATTTACTCTGGAGTCTGGCTTTTAATTAGCTGAATTTTCCAAGCTGAGATTATGATCAGCATGGTTTATTGTCTTTTCTGTGACAGAAAGTAATGGAAGGAGGACTGATGTTTTAGAATGTGGTGAAAGTACTGTTTCAGCGAGAATAGTCCTAGATTTAGATGTTGTATAATAGATAACCTATGTAATGATGGAACGACGGTGACCAAAAGGTCATTCTGGAATGATCTTAACATAGCATACAATAATTAATCTTAGGTGATGTATGGTAGATAAATTCTGGAATGATCTTAATATGGTGTGTAATATATTAATTCTGGAATGATCTTAATATGGTGTGTAATATATTAATTCTGGAATTATTTTAATATAGTGTCATAGATAAATTCTAAAATGGTTTTAAGATTGTGTGTAATACATAAATTCTGTGATGATCTTAAGATGGTGTGTAATAGATAAATTCTGTAATGGTCTTAAGATGGTATGTAATAGATAATTTCTAAAATGGTTTTAAGATGGTGTGTAATACATAAATTCTGTGATGATCTTAAGATGGTGTGTAATAGATAAATTCTGTGATGGTCTTAAGATGGTATGTAATAGATAATTTCTAAAATGGTTTTAAGATGGTGTGTAATACATAAATTCTGTGATGATCTTAAGATGGCATGTTATAGATAAATTCTAGAATGATCTTAAAATGGTGTGTAATAGATAAATTCTGTGATGGTCTTAGGATGGTGTGTAAAAGATAAATTCTGGAATGCTCTTAAGATGGTGTGTAATAGATAAATTCTGTGATGGTCTTAGAATGGCATGTAATAGATAAATTCTAGAATGATCTTAAGATGGTATGTAATAGATAATTTCTAGAATGATCTTAAGATGGTGTGTAATAGATAAATTCTGTGATGGTCTTAGAATGGTGTGTAAAAGATAAATTCTGGAATGATCTTAAGATGGTGTGTAAAAGATAAATTCTGGAATGATCTTAAGATGGCGTGTAATAGATTAATTCTGGAATGTTCTTCTGATGGTATATAATAGATAAATTCTGAAATGATCTAAAGATTCTGAAATAATCTTAACAGTATGTATTATAAATAATCTCTAGAAATTTATTAATACAGTGTATAGCATATTAATACATTATATCATTGTCTACGTTTAGGTGCGAGTGCCAACACATATAGATGGGACTTGTTTATTTTGGGAGTTTGCTACTGACTATTATGACATTGGCTTTGGCGTGTATTTTGAGTGGTCAGTTGCTCCGAATAACACTGTTAGTGTTCATATAAGTGAGTCCAGTGATGAGGAGGAACTCGAGGATGAACCAGGTGAGGAGACTAACTATAATACCAAGAAGTTAGCTGGCTCTTGCTAATGCTAGTTATAATGTTGTCTTACAAACAGCTGGAGTGATAAAGTTCCTTTATACTTCCTAAGGGATCTGAAATAGATATCAGTCTTGATAGATTTGGAGATCTTGTAACCAATGTTAAATTCAACTGAATCCTTACACTAAAAACCCTAAAAACTAACAAATATGGCAGTCTAGCACAGAAGTCATTTCATCTCTTCCGCTTTATTTATAGAAACTATAATCTGCATAGTTTTTAAAACGTTTTTGATTTTTCAGTTGAAGAGAAAGGTGACATAGAGAAGGGACCAAAACGAGATGACCGACCGCCCACTGATGAAATAATTCCTGTATATCGACGGGACAGCCATGAAGAAGTATACTGTGGTAGCCATGCCTACCCAGGACAGGGAGTGTACCTACTCAAGTTTGATAACTCCTACTCATTGTGGCGTTCAAAAACTCTTTACTACCGTGTCTATTACAGTAGATAATGCTTCAGGAGGATATCAGTATTAAGGTCCTGGTGACTTCTAGATCACGTGTATGAAAGAGTGGGGCATGTTACTGAATGTCTGAGGAAGGTAGTATGTGCTGAAATACAGTGGTTCATTCTTCAATGCTTTTGCTGTTTTGTTCTCAAGATGACCATATGTAACATTGAATTTGACTACTTAAAACAAAACTGATAATCAAATGCTTGAAATTTGATTTCTAAAGTGATCAATATGGTGTGTGTTTGTGATTTAGAGTGACAGGACTGTGGTCAACTCAATGGCCACCACACTGTTTGATCTGTGATTGTGATACTAAGCTGTCTGTACATTCGAGGTATTTTATCAATTATCACATCTTTCAGATTGCTAACAGTAACAAAAACGGGGTTACTTGGTGAGATCATGTAGTGATTTCTAAAATGAAAGCCTGCAGAAGCCATACATGTGTTGCTGACCCGACATTAAGTGCCTGTGAGCTTACTATGCCAAGGTGTGGTGTTTGTCAAATATCAAATTATCTTAAAATGTTTTTAAGGAATCAAATTTTTTTTTTTATTTATTCCCCCCTCCCCCTCCCAAAACATTTCCAGAGATTTATATATCACAGTTTATCAATATTTATCTTATTTCTGGTATATAAAATAGATAAAATATCTGTCTGTTTTGTTAAAATGAGGAGAGATTGGTTGGCCCTTACACATGGAAAATAGGATGTTAGAATGTAAGGTCTTATATGTAATACTAGCCAATGTATTAAATATTGGGAGAATTATGTAGACTTGTTTTGTTCTTTTCTGGGAAAGTAAAAGACGGTCTATTAAACATACAATTACGATCTGCAAAAAGTTTTATTGAAATTCCATGAAAAGAAATTTCACTTGGTCTAGTAAATGTATTGTACCATAGCTTAAGCTGTATCATTTAGCCTTGCTTTTATTTTATACTTAGGAACAAATTCATTTTTTGTTAAGAAAATAATATTGGTTGTATTTAAAATCATTGATCATGCATATACTGTCGTGCATAATTATATTTAATAAAAATATGAAATCATATTTTAATAACATACACTTCCCATGAAGTACATTGTGTACACAACACTTGTGAGACACTTGTATTGCCAATGGGGCGTACACTTTGTCTGTGCATCAGCTAATCATTTTCTCGAGATCATTTCATCTTGGGCATGCCTATATACTCTGATCACTAAAAAATATTTTGTATGCGAGTGCATCTTGAAATGGTGAGATGTTGAAGGCATGAGTTCAGTCTCGGAGCTTTACTATAAATAGAGTTGTAGCCCTTGTTCACTGTTGTTCCAGACCTTGTCAGTAGTCACCTGTGATAGACAAATTTGGTCTATCTGTGGACGCAAAGAGTTGCGTACAATCAAATGGTCTTTTATACCATGGTGGGACAGAGTTATCACCCTTTGCTTACTGTTCAAAGAAAGGTCAGATGTCTCCCCCTGTTGCACTTACATATGGCCTGTTTTCAATACAGAAAGTTTTTAAGGAAGTACAGGACTAGGAATTGCTCACATGTCTATTTTTGGAAAAGAACTTCCAAGGATTAAGATTAGTCTGGGCTGTCTGATAGAACCATCTCCCTGAAAGCATGCCAAACACTCCAGTGTAGTTATATATCTTTCATAAAGTGCTGGAATGATTAACGAGACGGAAGATTCGGGTCAAAAGTGAAAACTACCAAAGTAGAAGTTCAAAATACAAGGGGGAAACCTGTCAGAAATGTCATGCTTGAACAGCAGATGTGATCAGGAAAATGTACTTTACCACACATTAAATGTAGACAGCAATTATTATTGCAGGGGATACTACAACTACACAGGCATAAATATCAACTACACAGGCATAAATATCAACTACACAGGCATAAATATCAACTACACAGGCATAAATATTAACTATACAAGCATAAATAATCAGGTGAATGAACACAAGATGTACATACTTCAGAAGTGACATACAATTTACATGTATGCACAGTACATGTATGATGTAGTTAGAAGCTGGGTTTTACCAGTTGGGAGTCTATTTTGAATTGGTTTGAAAACTTATGTTCTGTGAATATTTTGTTGAATTTAAAAGAGATTTATTATATAATCAATTGTTATTAAAACTGATGGCACTCTTTGCCTAAAGTTTATCATACAAAAAATCTGAAGATACTGACGTCACATAGGTCAGTCACCTGGATGGCACTATTTCTAATTGTTTTTGCTCTGGTATGTTAAAAGATGTTGTGAATGTACTGTCTGTCAAAAACTTCTTGTTTCACTGTGTGTTTGGAGGTTTCAAAAAGCTTCAAGTACAAAATATCGCAGGAAAAACTATTGAACATTCATGTTCATGATATTGCCCTCTTAATATGTGTGATGTTTTTTAGTAACTTGATAATGACACAATTTGTATTTATTTAAGTTGAGTCTCTATTAGTGAATACTGATAAATTTGTTTTCTGTCAGAAGAAATATGGACCCCTATAAGAGATATAGTAACACCTAAAGGCGATCCTTCCATCGGTCCAAGCCAACTGTCAGTATTTAAGGGTAGAGAGGTGTAGTTGTTCACAGTGGAATTCTGTTAGCTTCTAAATGTTGTCAATGAGAAGAAATTTCAGCAGCGTCCCTAAAAGTCATTTAAGGGAGATTTTGTGCTGTAGAATACATGTCAATGATAATTCTGTTGTTTTCATGCTTTATACCTCATAGTATGTTAGAAATTTAGATCTGCTTTCCATATCACTTCATTTATCATTTTGAGATATGGCTGAATATTCTTGTAATACAATGTAACACAGATATGAATCTGAAGTACGACCTCAACTTAAACCTGAAAATCTGAACAGGATTCACCATAACAGCAACAACTTGAAAAGCTTGTAATTACTTGTCTTTGAATTTTAGATTTCAGTTTAATTATGTCCAGAAGCTAAAAACTTGAAATAAACTCAGTGAAAGGATGGCAATCGATTCTTCCTTCAATGTCTCAAGCTTTGGTCACATTTTCTTTAGATAACACAGATGTGACTTGTGGAGAGAAGATAGGAAGGTTGGGACAAGGAGAGCTTTCTGTAAAAGGGTGATAATAGAGATGCAAGTTTTGGAGTTGGAGAAGATAGGAAGGTTTGAAATGCAGAAAGCTTACAATGAAAGGGTGAGAAAAGAGATGAGAGTTTTGGAATTAAAGAAGATAGGAAGGTTTGGAATGCATAAAGCATATAAGTAAAAGGTTAATAAAAGAGATGCGAGTTCTGGAGTTGGAGAAGATACACTGATTGTGGTTGATGAGAGCTTACTATCATGACATACTGATGGTTATAAGCATTAATACACTACATCTTTATTTTACAAACTTAGAGTTAACATGGAAAAAAATTCAATTGTGTTAAGATGAGTAGTTTAATTTTGAATATTTGTGTTATTTTTGACGGAGAAGAAAATGTTTCATTTCAGACTTGCCTTTAGCTATGGATTGGCCACCGGCTGTCAATGTTTGAATGTTAGTTTGACTATGGATTGATAATCCTGTCAACCTTGATTTACATGCGATGTCTGTCCAGTCAGACATTTACTGTCTGTCAGCTGTCTGTCCAGATATACACTTCATGTCTGCTTATTCAGACATCATCCACATGTTGGCTTTCAGTTCAGTTGTGTATTTTAGATTTCTATCCAGCTAGAGATTGTCTGTGTCGGTCTGTTGAGATATGAGTCACTGGTTCGTACATCAGATGTCTGTCTAGTTTGTTAATTATACGTGCTGTTCCTTAGAATCACTACTAGGTGTTATACAGTTTGTTGTATTTATTATCTATATGTACAGTGCTGCCTACTACCAAGATCTTATTGAAATGTTATTGAATAAATTGAATGTATGACTACTTATTGGTGTCCAGTCATTCGTACCAAGTACCAAGTACCTGTGAGGCTTTTGTATTGGTTACCATCTGTCGTCTATAAACTTTCTACTTCAAACAGAGTCGAAATTGCAAAATATCAGGGTCCTAATATGTTTGTAGTAGGTACCTTGAATCAAGTTTTTCTGTATTTTATAAAACAACAGTGACCTATATTGATGGTCACAAGTTTTTTTTTAATATACATTCAATATAATATAATATAATATATAATATACATTTACAAAAATTAAGTAAGAAAAATAACAAAGGGCAATAACTCCTAAATCATGCAGACAAGAGTGATAGTGCACTGTACTTTTCCGTGTTGAGATCTGTCTACCTATGAAGCTTCATGTTGATGCCTCTTATAGTTTTTGTGTTAGTGTTATGCTCAAGACAAAATTACAATGGATGGAGGACAAATCAGCGACTACATACTCTAAAAATGGTCAGAAGGTACCGAGGGTGGAGTACAGGAAAGTTTCTACTGTCAATTATGTCAGCATTGGTTGCTGGGATCTTGTCCTGTCCGTGGTAACCTCGTCTTAGGTTTTGAAGAACTCCTTGTAAACAGGATTTTAATCTGTCTGGATTGTCCATTTCTATGGAATTTCATTTATGAATTTATTCAGAAACAGAGTCTTTGGAGTCCTGAAGTATTTTAAGTGCAAGTTTTTCTTTTAATGAAACTGATATTCAAAATGTCTGTCAAATATCTTTCAACACTACATGATCAAAACAGTTCAACACATGCATGTATACCGAATTACCTAAAACGTCCACAGTCAAATGAATGACCATATCTTGCCTTTGGGTCCACAGTCAAAGGAATCACCTTATCTCACCTTTGGGTCCACAGTCAAAGGAATCACCTTATCTCACCTTTGGGTCCACAGTCAAAGGAATCACCTTATCTCACCTTTAAGGTCTGCGGTCAAAGGAATCACCTTATCTCACCTTTAAGGTCTGCGGTCAAAGGAATCACCTTATCTCACCTTTAAGGTCTGCGGTCAAAGGAATCACCTTATCTCACCTTTAAGGTCTGCGGTCAAAGGAATCACCTTATCTCACCTTTAAGGTCTGCGGTCAAAGGAATGACTTACGCCCAGCATCTAGTTCACCTGATAACTTCAAGAGAAAATCTTGTTTATGTTCTGGAGTCTGGAGAACATCAAGAGCTGTCTCTGGAGTCTGGAGAACATCCAGAGCTGTCTCTGAAGTCTGGAGAACATCCAGAGTTGTCTCTGGAGTCTGGAGAACATCAAGAGCTGTCTCTGGAGTCTGGAGAACATCCAGAGTCTGGAGAACATCAAGAGTTGTCTCTGGAGTCTGGAGAACATCCAGAGTTGTCTCTGGAGTCTGGAGAACATCAAGAGCTGTCTCTGGAGTCTAGAGAACATCAAGAGCTGTCTCTGGAGTCTGGAGAACATCTAGAGCTGTCTCTTGTGTCTGGAGAACATCAAGAGTTGTCTCTGGAATCTAGAGAACATTAAGAGTTGTCTCTGGAGTCTGGAGAACATCCAGAGCTGTCTTAGCATTAAGGGTGATCATGTTTGAGCCCATAATTTTCAGGTTGTTCTTTCCTGAATATCATAAAGAAAAAAAATCTCAGTAGAAATAGTGAATTTGAAAAAAAAATCTGCTGCACCGAAATCTGATGGCGATTTAACAATCTGGAATTATTACGAATTGTTCTGAAGTCAATGTCAAGGTGATGAATAATAAATTACACCCACCGAGCCATTTTTTCTAGTAGACCAATTACAGCTTTTATGAACCACTTTCGTGCTGTTTGACCTTTGTGTAATCGGATGTGAGTGATGCACAAGAATAAATTCGAAATGCCAAGACGCCATTAATGCTGCTTTGTAACCCATGCATCAGTCTGTCTCTCACTTAATGAGAAATGGAATAGGAAAGAGACACCCAAACCGTTAATGAAACTTTAAACCGAATTCAAAATCGATGAAACCATGGGCAGACGAGGAAAATAAAAAAATTTGATGAAGCGTAATTTGAACGTACGTACGGAGAAAGGGACATGGTGTCTTAAGATGGTAGCTGTATTGTGTTTCAGCATTAACACCTGGTTTGTCATTCAATTGTAAATAATGACAGACACTCTAAATGGTAGCAATTAAAAGGAAACGAACCCGATCCAACATATAAATAAGAACATAAACCAGTCACCACCCTTCACACCACACTTGGCAATAGAACGATTATTAACTTTATCTCATTTTGATGACCTTGAACTTTGCTATCCGTCTGAATTAATCGACACCCTGTTCTGAAAAATTCCCATAAGTCGACATACCCGATATGTCATATGCATGAAATGAAATTTACGACATGTGAAACTTTGACTGGACGAAATATGAGGTTTGTATCGATCCCGGAAAGTACCTATTTAGATAATTCAATAAATAAGACATATAACATCAGAAAATCGGTAATATCATACCATTTTCTTATCAATTTATACCATCTCCGCGTTTTCACAAAGTATGTCCACAGTATACGTTTTAGAATAGCTCTCCTAACGAAGGAATGAAGCTGTTTGTAATGCTGTGAAAACGAGTGAAGTTTAATGGTTGAGATTAATGTCTAACGTTGTCTTTTATTGAAATAATGCCATGTTAATTTTGATATCGTGATACAAATACTGATAAGTTCGTGGATCATGGCTTGGTTTCGTGATTGTTCGTGCCTGTGATTACTAATTGAAATTGTATTGTTTTACTTGGAATAAAATACAATACTTTTTTCGATTTTCTGCTCTCGACGGGAGTACATTGTCTCGACCTTGCGACATCATCGTCGAAAACCCACAAGACTCAAACGACAGAGCAGAGTCACGTGAGTCTCCGGCGATGGTACGACATAATCTTCCTCGGAATTGATAGAAGTATATTGAAATCTCACATTCCACCAGATAACGGCATGGGTCTCAAGAGACTTTTGGACGAACAAAGGAAAACTCTCATATCTGCTCTAAGTATTGTTACTTTCGTACAGTGAAATATACAATCAATTCGATCAAAATTGATCACGTGATGTATCCTAGTAACACAGAATATATTTAATATACAAGTATATAGATCTATCACAATGTAGTCTATAAGATACGAAAAGAGTAGCCAACACACATCCCTATATCTTAAAGTTGAACATCGTGATATAGTATTCGCAATATGTCTGCAATAACGAGCATTAATTACGTTTCACGTCAAATCAATGTTTTTTATTTATATTTCCTATGCATGTTGCTGATCTTAATTGATTGCTCATTGTAGACAATGTAATTCGTCAAGTGAAACAGCTATTTTGACAACTGTCATTCCCACACTGATAACGTAATTGTCACGTGTTTTATGGCATTTTATGGTACCTTAAAGCTCGCTTCTTTCAGGTTGGTTTATATCCTAACATTCCTATCCTTATGTAAATTACTGAAAGGCCAATTAATAAATGTCTCCACTGACTTCAGTTTTGTGTGAAAAATATAGTGAAGGAAGTGTTCTCATGACCATTTGAAATTAGATAACACTGTTTTAATAGTTTATTGTCACTTGAACTAATTATCGTCGTGCAAAATTATATCGTCTTTTGATAGTTAACAATGGTAGTTATATTTGAATGTGTCCGGGGAAGAAGGGATTCATTCGATTCCGAAAACAAAAACGCACTTGCCTGTTTGCAAGAAACCTGAAATGTCGTACGCATGAAAAAAAATCAACCATTTGGTTTTAAGTTTCCTTAATCCAAGGGGAATATATGCTTCACATCGGGGAATATGGACTCCTTTTCTTTGGGTGGGAAAGACACTAGCTTGTGAGAGGAAACAATGGACACCAAAACGGAGGTGTTTGGCAACTGAGGAAAATTGGGAAGAAAAGAGAGAGAGAGAGAGAGAGCGAATCCTTCTCCCATACGGACACCATTTAACAAAGGTTGGTCTGGAGCTAGGGTAAATTCTCTTAGGAGCAAAAAAAAAGCACAAGCAGGCGAAAAATTGGGCGTTAAAGTCTACTCCTCTTGACCAGATGAGTATATTTCAACTAGATATCCATTATGGTTTGGTCTTGTTTTATATTGCTGGACGTTCTGTCAACAGCTATTAGAGTGTTACCTTAGGGCGAAGTGAGAGCTTGTGTTGAATGTGTGTGCTTGTATGGTGCAGAGATATGTTTCTGTAAGCCTACTTGTTGTAGTTCCTCTAGTAGGATACCCAACCCAGCCACATACACTGAAAATGACAAGCATCCTTTGAGGTGTATTATTCAGAACATGTGCTAAAGCCAACACAATATATCATGTTACAGATACGTAACAGATATTCAGATATTGTATTTAGTAAGTCAATGTAGGTGAACATTCCGAATCATTGGACTCGACGCTTAATTAGAACGCTATCTGACGCGCCAGGGACTTCAGACAAACCTAGCAAATCGATTCTATCTGGTTCCATCAGTACAAACGAGTCCATATCTAGTGTTTCAATGTCCCGAAGCACTCTGTCTTCCAATACTGGTTCCGTACCTATGGAATCAACTACCGGCATCCTTTCAGTGCTAGGCGCCAACTCGGCCAGGATCGAATCTAGGAATATTTTCGTTCTCCATTTATATAAACTATCGGATGTATTCACTTTTACAGCGGGAAACGCCCATTTTATGATGACAACATGTGGTATGTACCTGGTGTTTGTTGATGTTGGAATGACTTTGCAAACACGACGGTGGATGTATTAAGGAGGAATAATACTCAGATTAAACCGAAACTAACATTTATTTCATCAATTCATCCCTGTCGCATCATAATATCTCATTGTCTTTCAAGTCAGAATTCCAAAAAAGAACAAATGGATTTAATCGAATTAGGTTGTATCCCACGCATTATCCCACCCTTACAATATCTGTAACAAGGTATTTACGTCAAACCCACCCCCTTTACAATATCTGTAACAGGGTCTATACGTCAAACCCACCCCTTTACAATATCTGTAACAGGGCCTATACCTAAAACACAATCCCATTTACAATATCTGTAACAGGGCCTATACCTAAAACACACACCCTTTACAATATCTGTAACAGGGCCTATACCTAAAACACACCCCCTTTACAATATCTGTAACAGGGTCTATACGTCAAACCCACCCCTTTACAATATCTGTAACAGGGCCTATACCTAAAACACACACCCTTACAATATCTGTAACAAGGTATTTACGTCAAACCCACCCCCTTTACAATATCTGTAACAGGGTCTATACGTCAAACCCACCCCTTTATAATATCAAATTCGAAATACGAAACAGGTCTACATAAGTAAGCTTGCCATTTAACACCGTGTTAAAAACACGGTGTTAGATTTGTACAGCGAGAATGTTTGTTACACGATTATGACAAATACGTGTTACTATTATACTTCTCTATTTTCTGTAGGAAAGGTTGAAATAAATACGAATATATTGGCTCGTGAATGGACACATTCATTGCGAGAAATTAGACGTGTCATAATAAGAATTGGGATATATTTGTCACGAAAATACAAAACCGTTCATACCGATCGCCGATCGGACTTCAAGCGATGTTATGTCAGCTTAACATGTATGTTAAAGTCAAGTTTTTGTACAACAAAGACATTCCTTCTGAAAAGGGAGTTATTTTATGTGTGAGAAATACACTTGAGATCACAGAATTCACGCCTCAATGAAAATATTGGCAATGGTTTGTTTGGCACAGCCAACTATCTTTCTTGCCATCACACGGTCATCTAATAAGTCGTGTCTGTTAAAATGGTGTTGCTTCTTCTTGACCACCGAGGATTTCGTGAAGTATCTATAGATTACTTGAATTAAAACTGGCTTGCCACCTACCAAGTGTTGAAATATTGATTTGAATAATTCAGCGGCACATTGGTTAGACATGAAGCCCTACAACAGCGAGAGTTAATGCACCGCTACACGTGGTCATATCTGGCCAGTATATTTCCATTTGACAGGTGCTTAACGCAGGTGCCAGTCCATTATTGTTATGGTATGCTATTATCATAAACATTCGAAATGGAATGTAACATGCAACAAAAAAAGCATGTAAAACTCACATAGTCTGGTTTTTGTGTGCACGCAAATCCTCTGGGAGTTTACCGTTCATGTGAAAATCGCTTTTAAAGAATTGGGTTACAGGAACGAGGACATCTAAATAAGAAACATTTTATAATAAAATCGAGGACAAAGGTAGCTGTTTTCTTTTTTTTTCGTTTACGTGTCATTTAAAAGTATACGCATATACCCGGATCTACCGGTATGGCATGGTAAATCGAGATCCGTGTATCACTTACACTTCATTTTCTTTCATCAGTCTAGTGCAAATTTGTGAATTTCAAATCATACCTTTTTTATCGCTTTAAAGTGTGTGTGCTACAAATGTAATGTAAATATACAAATTAGTTTATAGATAGCCATAAACCTTTAAACCACTTAAAATCCATAATAAAATAATGCTTTAAATGTCATGAAGTAAATCTACTGGATTGACGATGATATATGGATCACGATTTGATGACAGAATCCTTTGGACGCCTGTAAGCACTGTAAATACGCAGTCTTAATCTTAGCCTATGTATCAATATTCCCGGTCAGCTTTCATGAATTTTCTCAAGTCAACCGTGACTTAATGTTGGGCGTCCGAGCTCTATTTCATCTTTTATGAACAACCGTGTTATTTCTTCACCAATCTAACGTCTAGTTATAGATTTATCTTATACCATATGGTTAATCGTCTCCGCAACACTTTGATAGGTTCTCTAGAAACAGGGACTAACAACCAGGAGTTGTCGGGTGGCACAGGACGGATGTGAAAAGGTAGCGGCTCACCTTCCCGACCACGTGGGTTAACCCCGTGTACTCTAGATTACTCCTGCATTGTTCCCTCGCGCACATCCATCCGGGCCAACAAGAGTGATTAATATTAGCTTAAGTTGTTGCTTTTGTTTTGTTGTTGTTTGTTATTGTTGTTGTTGTTGTTGTTGTTGTTGTTGTTCTTCTTCTTCTTCTTCTTCTTCTTCTTCTTCGTTTTAGAGTCAAATTTTCGTCATTTGTACAACTCCTCCAGGCTTATTGCGGTACTGCGGTAATAGCTGACATTGGTAAGGTGTTCCCTGAAGGTTCTTCGGAACATACTTCATAGGTCTTACCTTGATGATGTTCTTTGGAATGTGGTGTTACCATGGTCAGTCATTAGCAGGTAGTTGGCCTTTTGACATAATTATATTTGAGAAGAGCTGTAAGTGTTAAGAACATTTTCTGCACGTCCAGAATATCAATATAATTACTTTGAATCTTCTTCCGATGTCCAGTTGCCATATATGGCCGATCACACTTATCATGGGCGATCATTTCCTCCACCTATGTTGCAGACCCCTTACACGGACTCGGCTGGTGGGACCTCTCGGTCCACACAATCTCTTGCCTTTGTTGTGCAGAATATAAGAGATTTCCGTTGACTTTGATCACACATAACCCGTAGTAATATTACGTTGTACCTGAGATAGGGTTGGAGCTGAAAGGCGACAAAACCCTTCATTTTTACACAGGAAAGGCGGGTTGAGAAAATCCCGACTTTATAAGTAAGAATGAAAACTGACATAATATGGTATTTGTTTGGTACAGTACAGTCGTTCAGGGCATATGAGCGGATTCTCCTGAAACCTTTGTACTTCGACGTATTGTTTCAGTTTTTGTTCCTAGCTCACTGTAGCATCGGACCGATGGAGGCTGCTGCATCGACAGAACCAGAGGGACCGTGATACTGTCTGACAGTGGCAACGTACCGAATACTGGGCACATGTAACACCAGAGGCAGAGACAACACCAAACCAAGCGGAAAGCGGACGTTAAACACGTCAACCAACAAAACAAACCGATAGTCAAACAGACCGAGGACCATCCAGAACGAATTGTGGTGACAATGTTGGTCTGTTGCTTACAGTATACAGTCGTACAAGAACTTTCACGAACTTTTCAGACGATTCGGAGTTTTTCGACCCCCCGCCCCCTCCTTCCCCACTCTCTCTCTCTCCCCAATAACCAAATAACCACTACCAAATATAGTCGTCTTTTGTGTTGTTAACGAAATTCTGAATAACAAATACGAACTTACTACTGTCGATTCTTGTTCTTAGGATGTTTGGCATGTTGAAGGGTGACTTTATGTAATTCTATACGATGACTAGATAAGTATTACAAGGATTTTGACATTCCTGTGTGTAATATCGGTGCCTATCGCTTTATCACCTCCTTTAAAAAAGAAACCCTGTCTACCGGCACCAAACTGTAAACACATAGGTTTAGTTGTCAGTTTGAGAACTTGAAATTACGACACATACTGCAAAAGTTTTGAAATACTACTACTCCTGCATACACAATTTTACATTAATTTTCCTTATTTCTGAATTAAAGCTAACAAGTCGGAGATGTTTAAGGCCATCGAGTACCGGTTTATATATGATAATCCTTTAGAATGTCCTTGAATACGACCAACCCTAAATACACTTCTCTTATAGAGCAGAAAATTAAACTCGTTAGGACAGTCCACCGCTACACATAACGTGATCGAGATGAATGTCGGCGCTTTAAAAACTCAATCTTTGATACATAATTGGTTCTCACGATTGCCCCTTCAGTCATAGTTTGTCACAATTCCACCTATTATGGTACATTATCGCCAGCGTTCTAAATAACGTTGTAAAGCCTGGTCACTCACTCTAACGATGAAAATTGATCTAAAAGGGGGCGGGGCAAATTGCTATATACTTCCGTCGCTAGTAACGCAACGGAACAATGGACACGCGGTCACCCGGGAGCGTTACCTACAATCCCGTCATTTCACTGATTTCATTTCAACACAACAAGGGTCGTCTATACTTCAGTGCCAAGTTCTATCGAACGATGTCGTGTCCGATTTCATGAGCGATAGGTATACCGTGAAAAACAAAGTTTTGCACGTTTCCATGCGGAAATAGGGATTGGAAGTCAATTTCACGAGATATGTTACAAGACAATCGTTTAAGCTAGAAGCCGTATGTGAAGCGTGAAAGGTATTATTGACATTACGTGTTAACTGGGGAAACGGTATTTGATCAGGACGTGGCGAGCCATCGAACGGACGGCTGGCTATTGGGAATAGAGACAAACATCACACACCCGCTGATATATGTGTGAACTCGGCTTACTTTCGGTTTATTATAGGCGTTCGATCATTTACTTGCTGTCTGTGTAAATACACATCCATCATCCGGCACTTACAAGCCTTTTATTATCGTATTGATATTATCCACACGATGGAGGGACAACTCAGTGCCGACAATTTAAAAGCACACAACGCTCACCTGAAGGAGTCGACTTTACAACCAGAAAGCGGTGTGACAGGTGGTACAACTAGTACTACCAAAACTTTAGGGACGAAAAAAATGGGGACTCCATCAAATAAGTTAAGTCTTAAAGACAGACTGACTCTCGGGGGAAATTCTTCAGTGGACGACAAGAAAAGTGATGCCGGAAGTGGTTCCAAGTTGTCCAGTAGTATCAACAGAACCAGATTTAGTCGTCTTCGGACCAAACTTAAGATGCAGAGTCTTTTTGGCACGAATTTGTCTAAGACAGGGTCAGAATCTGGACACAAACCAATCAGATCGTTGGAAAACACTTACAAATTAGAACCAGAGGATGGAACTCAGTTTTCAATATCAAACGCCGAGAAGATTATGACAAATGTGTTCGAGGCCTATCTGAAAGGGCGACAATATGACGCCAAAAAGTTTCGACTACTGTCAAAATCTTTAGCAGACATGATCAAGGAAAGAGTGAAGCAGAGCGGAATTGTTCGGTATAAGATTGTAGCAACGGTGTTAATAGTTGAGGACTGTGGTCAGACAGTTCGCCTGGGCAGTCGAAGTCTTTGGGACACGACATACGACAATCACGCGACCGTTGTTTTCAAAGGCGATGGATTTGAGGCAGTTGGGTCCGTTTACGCTGTATTTTTTGCCTAAATTGTTTATCTATGCAGTGTTAGTGGTGCTCGTCTTACGTAAATGATATTACACTCATCTAAACCATTCCGTCCGAACAAACATAAACAAAAGTCTGTTTTATATTCTTACAAATGTAATAACATATGTGGCTGTTGAAAGTGATTTTTGTACGTATCAAGACACTATTTATCGTTCTATCTTGTGAATGTGAACCGCAGAGAATTATATTTATCATATTTATGTGTTGATGATTAAATTCAAATTTTATGATAATGATGTGACATATACATACATATGAATGTTGAGTATTCCTGTGTTATTCGATGGTACTTTCCACATCTCGGGGAAAATTGTGAAAACAATGGATACAGTGCGTATTGTGATCAAACAATTAAAGTGATTAATGAATTAAGATGTGCGACGTTAAACGTTGTACAGGTTACCGTGGTGTGTGTGGGAGTGGCCCATCAGCGCAGTATAAATACGAAACTATGGTGGAATATATTTCCTTCTCGAGAAATATCATTTCCGAAATGGATATGTATTAGTAATGTGTATTCCTAAAGTGTTTGTCTAACAACACCGGTTTGTTGTCCGTAGGCAAATCATGCGAAGGATTTAAACTGACCGTAACCGGACAAATTGACCACTTCTCCCTCTGGCTATTACCAGTATGTATTATATATTGAGGTGACCTCATACAAAACCTCATCATTTATTTGCAAACATACTTAAATCTAAAGCATAAACACGCTTGAAAGTTAATCCCTAAGGTACACACTGATATACAGTGATCGATCGAATGGTTCAGAAATCACAATCTGGGGACTGTTGAAATGTGTATAAGTGAAAACTTGTGAATGAAGTTCAAATTATTTTTTTCAATGAGATCTATTTAAAATGTATTTCCGTCCATAAACTTTTTAATTAAAATTATTTAATTTTTTAAAAAAATTCTGTTATAATTTTTTTTTCAATGTTGAAAAGACATTGACCATTTTTTTTGTTTAATATGGCATTGTTGAAACATGCTTTCCTATGTAATCATGAAAATAAACAAATAGTTTATTTGAAAAATGTTTCGTAGCCATTAATGTATCCTCCAGGTGGCTATAGCTGATTTCTTTACTCTTTTGTAACCATGACAACCCATTGTGGCGGATAGACTTCTGATATAGAACGGATCGAAAATTGATCTATTTGATCAACTAATGGCTCTCAGTCTGCAAAAAGAAGACGCACTTTAATAAATAACACTTAGTGTATCATAGTGTAGATTCTACATATAGATAAACACTCTGGCATATCCCTACTGGGTGTATAGTAGAAAGTCTGTTTGATCATCCTCACATGCCTACTGGGTGTATAATAGAAAGTCGGTCTGATCATCCTCACATCCCTACTGGGTGTATGGTAGAAAGTCTGTCTGATCATCCTCACATCCCAACTGAGTGTTTAATAGAAAGTTTGTCTGATCACCCTCACATCCCTACTGGGTGTATAATAGAAAGTCGGTCTGATCACCCTCACATACCCTGGGTGTATAATATAACGTCTGTCTGATCATCCTCACATCCCTACTGGGTGTATAATAGAAAGTCGGTCTGATCACCCTCACATACCCTGGGTGTATAATATAACGTCTGTCTGATCACCCTCACATACCCTGGGTGTATAATAGAACGTCTGTCTGATCATCTTCACATACTCTAGGTGTATGATAGAAAGTCGGTCTGATCACCCTCACATACCCTGGGTGTATAATATAACGTCTGTCTGATCACCCTCACATACCCTGGGTGTATAATAGAAAGTCGGTCTGATCACCCTCACATACCCTGGGTGTATAATAGAAAGTCTGTCTGATCATCCTCACATCCCTACTGGGTGTGTGATAGAAAGTCTGTCTGATCATCCTCACATCCCAACTGAGTGTTTAATAGAAAGTCTGTCTGATCATCCTCACATCCCTACTGGGTGTATAATAGAAAGTCTGTCTGATCATCCTCACATACCCTGGTGTATAATAGGACGTCTGTCTGATCACCCACACTTCACTTCTGGGTGTATAATAAAAAAGTCTGTCTGATCATCCTCACATACCCTGTGTGTATAATAGGACGTCTGTCTGATCACCCACACCTCACTTCTGGTATACGTGGAAAACGTAACGATCTAAGGTAGGTGGTATGTCGGCACTGTCTCGCGTCCTCACACACACTATGTTACGTCTTAATGCACTCAGCTTAAAGTAACTTGCGTTAGACTAATCATTCGTTTGTTTGAAATCGAAAAATACAAAGCTTTTGTTTGTATGTGATAAACGATCTTTATATCCCTAGTACACTTAATATTTGTTGCATCATCCCATTCGTAAGAAAAACGACCTGTGCTCTCGGTATCACATGGTTAATGGAAATTTAACATTTCCAACTAGTCCTTCTTAATCTAAATAAATTTGAGGAGATATGCACACATTAAAACGTTCAGCTATAGGCTCTTGGTCCTCTCGGTCACCCGAAATTCCACGTGCCTGAGTCAACAGCGATAATACCAGGTGCAGATATTTAATTTATTCTAGAACAAGGCTTGTAATCGACCCAGCGAGATAAACATCCGCTTTTTCTCTTTTATCACGTTTAAAAAAAAAGATTTTTATTTATCTAAAACTGGTCACATCTCGTGGTGACTATCTGTACCTTACAAACTGCACGTAACACCAACTTTTGTAAGGTACATTCTGATACACATGCACAGGTACTTTTCCCGGATCTGTATTGAAATAGGAAGAGACAGTGCGTTGCTTCTTGCTGTGAGTGAAACATTGTGTTTTCAATCTTATTTGTGTACATGTAATTAAAACTCCCGATTACATGCATCCAAAGTTTATCTTTTTATCTCATTTTCAAATTCGTGTCTATTTCACTCCTGATTCCAGCACTCCCATTAATATGACACCTACACCAGAGAGAACAGAGAGCTACACGCTTTCTAGAACAAAAAAATGGGAACCTGGATTCTACATTAAGACTTGTACACGAAACACATGTTGTTCACCAATAGTTTTTGAGTGATGCGAGTTTACAAACTTTGTGTTGGCTGTTAACAAATTGATACCTGAACTATCAAACAATGGAGTATTTGTTGGAAAAAGCGGATATTAATTACGACGCGGTTTAAATTACTTTTATTCAGCGAACGGACTTTTACTTCTATCATAAACACCACCTCTAAAAGAAAATTTACAGGGATATTTTTAATGAGGTAGCAAAGTAATAATTCTACTATTACTCATATATATTAGAATATGTAATTATGTATATTTTTCCTGTTATTGCAATAATGGCTGCCCGCCTATAATGAGCAATCTAGCATTCTATCGCCGATTTCCTGATCTATCAAGTGAATGGAGCGTGTGAACTTAAAGGAAATTTATGTTCGAGATCATATTTTTAATTCATTCTAGTTTTTCAACCTGAGAAGCGAGTTCACTTGCTTGGATCTAACATATCATTGAAAAGATGACTTCACTGATTTAAATGACCTATGTACAGTAAGTGATATCACTCGTTTGTGTTCCAGCTGAGGGGGAGTCAAAATTTACAGATTTTCGTGTCAGCCAGATACATTACGATTACGCAAAACAAACACCTGTCAAAGACATATACCGGAATAACACATGAAAATATATCATGTGTCGCCGTTTCAGGATTCTTCAGTGACGATATCAGTCGATCTGAATTTTTCTCAAAATTTGTTGTACAAAGTAAGAAATCCAATTAGTTCGATAATTCTGGAAATAAAAGTATTTGAGACCCATGACTTTTATCTAATTATGTTTTCAGTGGCTGTGTTAAGTATGTCTAACGCCATGTACATTGATTAATTTCTGACGCTATTTTTGTACATTCAAAATACGAAAAATAGTTAATGCACTTCAGATAATCACCTGTAAAGGACAGCATCACAAGTTTTCGAGAATCACATTAGTATAATTGGGTATTTAACAGGGTTCTATATTTAAATTGCTGTCATTTCCCGAGTAATTAGAATATTATTACTCATCAAGGTGTAATAACACGTAATGGTGCCTATAAGGAGACCAGGTTTCTTTTTGTAACTTGTTTAAAGCCGACATCCATACACTAATGCATGATTAAGCGCGTGATAAAATATCCTGCAATACGCCGTAATGACAAAAGTAACAAGTAAGTTTAGTCGTCAAGAGATACGACAGCACGATTTCCTGTGTCGATCAATTATAGATATACACATAGATATGACAAATATTTTTGTTTATTACAAACTATTGTATTGATTATGAAAAGTTTATCCTAGTTAATTCTCTGGGATTGAAAGGAATTGATTATTTATTATACCTTACGAAGGTGAAAAATTTAAACACGTGACGTATTTCATTATGATAAAGTATCTCGCCTTGTTCGGTATAATCCAGTGACATTCTAGTGTTACAACTACCTATGAAAGTAAACGCACTTTTATTTCGAGTTACACCGAGGCATTTGTTTGTTAGAATGTTGAATTTTTAATGCGAATATATTTAAAATGGCAATATTTAAGTTTAAGTCCACGTCAAATTAATTTCAGAATGTACTGATCTGTTTACCAATCCACCATACCACCCCATTACTCTTGTGAATATTTGCCATGAGGTGCGAACTATATACCGCTCAATACACATTACCGATAAAATTTCACCAAAAACACGCGTCAATATTCTTAAGGATCTGCGTTTTCTGAAATTATCAACAGATTTTAAAAGACTTTATTTTCCTCGTGACTTTTAAAGTGATTCAAGGTCATTTATTTGAAAAAGTAAAGAAAGAAAAATAACTTAATGTAAAGGCCAACCTGACTTTACTGTATCACAGGATAAATATAAACCGTAACTTTTGGTTTTACGAGTCTGACGTTAGTCGTTTGTTCCAGTATGACAACACGTTAAATAATGGTTTCTCAATAGAAAATGTTTTTATGTTTGAATACGTCCTATCCAC